TGTCCGCATCGCCATTCATCGCAGCCGGCCCATGCACGCAGCCACCTCCATCTACGAGAAAACGATTCCACAAAATGAAACTAAACTAATTATTTGTTTTTTCAAACCAGGTAAGGCCCACTGAGCTGTTCAGATTTTTTTTCTGGAAGCGACCTGGCTATCACAAATGATAGCTGAACGAAGTGGCTTATCATCACGTGGAAGTTTACGGCAAATACTCTATACGCATGTTTCGAAAATGTGGAGGGAAAAACCAGAGAAAAATCAACGCGACCACGGGGAGAGAGACAAGCAGATTCCAAATATACAGCAGGCGTCAGGGTCGGGAACAAACTGACGACCTCCTGTATACCACGCGAGGTAGTTAACATCTCGGCACCGTAACACGGAGGGTGTCCAACGCGTTCCGCGAGAGCGCATTAGCGGGAACGCTGGCGAGCGCAGAGGAGCAGCGAAATAAATCAACAGGGCGTCGTTCGTCGACCCACGGCGTCGCGTGGACACAGCTCAGCGCCGCTAAGAATGTCCAGCGGGGACGGCGCGGGGCACGACCCGTCGCGTCGTCCAAGGGGCTCGCACGCACCACCCATTGTCCGCAAGAGAAAGCCGTCGTGTGCCCGCCACTCGATTACTGAGCCATAGCGCACATTGCCCTTCCTTCAGCCGAATGCTCCCCCCAAAAATTTCATACAAATGAGATCCCCCTGGGAATTTTATTAAGTAAAATATAGAGAGATGGAAGGAGCAGAGTTCGATTGCTGGGCGTGGCTAACACCCGTGGCGAGCGTTATAACTGAACCCCCCTCCACCCCCCCCATTTTCATGAACCCACACTGACTGCGTGGTGAAGGATGGTCTATGTATGCGGGTGACATGGAGTGGGGAGGCCGTTATCCTACAGGGACTTCATCGAGAGATCTTTATGATGAAGCCTCTTCAGTTTTTATAAATAATATTTCATTGCTCCTACAGCCTAATTTCAGTTTCTGTTAATCACACACGCAACGAGTAAACGCGGGAGACCAATCCGTTAATGTTTTTCTGAGGCGATGGCTCTTTTGTTTCCATGACAACCACTGGGAAAGTCAAGGCAACCTGGGTAATGAAATTTAACACCTGGAATCATCTCGGGCGTCGCGTCTCCGTAGCTGCTATGCACTTGTCGCGTGCGTGTGTTTCAGCGTCGTGCAGTGACTTAAATGCATACCATAAACGCCGAGCAGCGATGGGTTATAACAATTATAATTCTCATTAAACAAAGCAAGGTGCTTAAGGTCACTGGCTCGTCAATTAATGGACAGACTTGCTGATGTGTTTTGAGGGGCAACCCGAGTGGGGTAAAAAAAGGATTCTGCAACATGCGAGTCGGCTCACGGCTGCGTTCGCTGCCTCCAAGTTGCGGTTCACAAATCCTCGTTGAGCCAGCGCAGGGCCCCGTGGTACGGGTTGTTTTCCACTGCCTGTCTGCAGTGCCGAGCCAGAACCGGAGCCGTGCCACGCCGGCATCGCGGTGCAGATTACCGGGCTCCGCGCCCACCTGGTCACTAGATTATTTACGTATTTATTTTTAGCGATTTGCTTTCCTTTCCAATACTTTGCGCTCTGATCGTGTTCTTGTATTGTTTGTTGTTTTAAACTTTCTGGCCTGCCCCGAATGGACACCTGTGAGAGAAAAAAATAACTCCAAAAGCTCATCGGATTTCTCCAGGACAAATAAAGATTCCGATTGCTGTAAAAATTGCTAGATTGGCTGGCCGTATGATACGCCAACGTCCATCTGTTGCAATAACGGCTGAGTGCTTAACGTATTGTGTTCCCGCGTGCCTCTCCATGTCTAGAGTTGAGTGATACATTTGCTGCCGCTTTTAGAATCCGTATTGGAGTCGCGTGTCACTTTAGCGTTCGCGTTCGCTATCCGAGACCACTCAAGAGCCGCCATGATGTAACGAGAAATGGTTATCTTATTTCAGAGTGCGGTGCCACGGAATAAGCAAGTTGCAAGGTGGAAAACTGAAATTGTAATGTTTAGCGTTTCCGTAGCTTAGTTTTTGTAATATGTTCTGTCATCAATCTGGAGGTGATCTGCCCGAGCTGATTTAAACATTTAGTTTAACAATACTTTCTGTTCTTCATGTGATACAGATGTTTAGTTCCAATTACACTTTGTTACTGTATTTTATTTTATTTGTTTTGCGTTTGTTACGTTGGTGGCCCAGGTTACGTTGGCAAATGGGAGTCATCCTGGCCTCATGAGTTCCCACCGCCTGGTTCAACAAAATGAGGTTCTGGAACTTTTAAAAACACTCAAATAAGGAATTGGCCAAACATTCTAGGAATTATTCTCCCATAAAAGGAGCCCTGGGGCCGCAGCGACTTTCCCGAAAGTATTATTATTTATTACTTAAACATTCGCGACTACAATACACTCAAATTGCAGCTGATTAGCTCAGTTGAGTCAGAACAATGAGGTAACGTTTTTTTCCCGTACATTCGAGTCACGTGTTAATTTAGAACACTTTACTGTGCTTTATTTCACAATGTGCTAAGGATATGTTAAAAACTGCATCGAGTGAAATTGTCAAAAAAGTAGTCAAACTCACTTTAGCCTTCAACAGACTGTTGGGCCAAGTGCTGTTAGCGAGCACCTATGAAGGCTGGCACGGCACACCTGGGGGGGTGGGTGACCAGCACCACGCCCGGCCGCCTTTGTCTCCCCAGTGCTGATGATTCACACACCGCACCAGGTACGCAATTCAGGCCGAGTCGACCTAGGGGAGGCCCAGGACCTGACCAGATATCACTCATCACCGATGCTAGCCATGACCAGGAATCTATCTCAGGTTGTTGGGTTTCCAAAGCGATGCACGAACTGCTGCGCCACCGCTCCCTGCACACAAGCGCGTGAGCCCACGCGCCCAGCTGTCTAAGCCAAGCGGTCAAGCAGAGCGGAAGGTATTAATCTGGACACAGCGCAGAGAGAGAGAGGGCAGCTGTAGAGGAAGACGGAACAGCGGCAGCCAAATAGCATGCGGATGTCAAAAGAACGAGCGGGGAACAGTGCGGTAGACACGCACTTGTCAAGATCCTGATATTTAAAGCCATGCGTACGTGGACAGAACAATAATTTTACGTTTCGATTTAAAGCTTTCGTGACTGCAAGGATTCATCTTCTTTGGTTCTTTCGGTAAAGTCACGTAGAATGAGAATTGTGTTATTTAATTTTATTAATTTATTATTTTATTCTCATTCTACGTGACTTTACCGAAAGAACCAAAGAAAATAATTTTACGGACATGCCAGAAACCTACTTTCTGTACTGCCCCTGTATGTGGTTGTCTCGTCCACGTGGTATTAAATACATCATTTGCATTTTTACTAATATTACGTCCAAGCTCCAGTCCTTTGGATATGAAGAGATTTTCAGCTCATGAATCAGTGTTTATACATGCGGGTGGAAACCGGAGCACTGGGAGAAAACCTGCACGTGCGAGGGGGCAACACTTTATCCCATACAGAAGGGACAGATGATGGTACTCCCCACTTTGTTTACCGCCTTCTCCCAGCAACTCAGGTGATGCACACCTTGACGTCCATAAGAAGGGAGTCTCACACCACTTGTGCGACGATTCACCAACACTCGTTGTCTCCACAGTGCTGGATTACAGGCCACGTGCATAGACACCACCGCCCGGTAACCACAAGTTCAACAGCCAAGTTCAATCACGTGCGGCTGTTGTTGTTGTTGTTTAAACACTGCGTGCACATATGGGGGCACTAAGTATAAAAGATGAATGTGCAACGACAATTTGCACCGATTTATATCCCGGTGCGAAAAATAAAAAGTTGCGCATCGTCCCCGAGGAGTTTAACAGCGAGAGACTCGGCGCGCGTGGGCCACGCTGCCCAGCCTGCTGGCGCAGCGCGGCACACCGAGCGCGGCACACCGGGCGCGGCATACCGGGCGCGGCACACCGAGCGCCGCCCTCTCGTCCTCGACACCGACGGGCCGCCATGGCGCAACTCCGGCACACAGCCGGCATGCGGGGGCGGCAATTTCAAAAAATCAAACCAACAGGAGACAACCACCCATCATCCCAGCCGAAATAGCCCAATGCTTTTAGGAGGCCCCGCATACAAAATTCTCAGATTACACCCCCATGCAGCCACCATTCACAGGAGTGCTCCTCGCCTTGTTATATTTTAGTTTTATTTCACTTGATGCAATTTTTCTTTGACCTTTTTTGTGTTCCTCCTCCTCCCTTGCTGCAGGAGTGCTTTTGATCGTGAAGCTGTTTTGGTGACAAAAGAAAAATAAGTTGCTCGGGGCTTTCAAGATCGCAGCGGCGTGGCCGCGATGATAAAATGAACGCGACGTTACGATGCACTCACGGCTTTGGTGGCCCATGGCCGAGTCGCAGAGCGTGCCGTCGGCGTGCGCGCACCTCGGTTCGTTCGTGGCGCGGTGGTCAGCGCACTGCGTCACCAAACCAGGCGTGGTCAGTGGCGAGTGACATACAAACCCGTGCTTGGGCCTCCCATAGGTCGGCTCAGCCGTAAATGAGTACCTTGTGCGTAAAAACGGCTGCACTGGGGAGTAAAAGGCGGCCAGGGGAGGCTGTGGCCAAACCGTCCAATCTATGGTCTGTCGTGTGGTGGTGGAATAAAGCCATGGTATAAAATATTAGTGAGTGGTAGCGTAGAGTGGTGTTGTAGAGTGTTGAGCATCGGGGAAACTGCGAGGCTCTGCCATGCGCATTCGTGGTCAGGCCGTGCGTTGTCCGGCACGATGCCCGACGCTGCACACCACTCGCTGGGGAGGTTCATCAGGAACCGAATCGACATCGAGCTCCCGTCGCGTGGAGCGAAACACGTCGGGACATCGTGCGAAGAAAACAACGCACGGTACGATCCCGACACACGTCGGAGCGCCAGACGCGCACAACCACAACAAAACCACGCGCGCTCGCGAAACGTTGGGAAGAGCCCTGGGATGCGCGTACCGTTGAGCAGATTCTCGGCCGTCACCAACGCCTGCACCTCCACCGAGTGGTCCGAAGTGTAGGTGATGTGCGTCGCCACGTGCGCCACCTCCCCAATCAGGATGGGCGACAGGAAGTCCGTGCGCTCCACACGTGCCAACGCCGCCACGCAGTTTTCGTGCTGGCAAAGGCAGGCACGGGCGGAGTCACGATCGTTACTTTCGCAACTTGTCAGTTACCGTCGACGCGTTTGCCTGCGTCACCGTCGCCTTCGCGATCGTCTCGACGGCATCAGCGTCATGACCAATAATCGGTTACCTTTGCAGTGACCGGCGTAATCACCGTCATTTGTGCCGCTATCACAATCGTCGTCGTCGTCGTCGTCATCCGTGACCTGCTTCCCACTCTCAGCCATCATCTCAGTCGTCATCACAGTAACACCACCTTCATCCTGTCATTTGTCACCTACATCTTCATCACTGCCATTGCAATCATCGTCACTACCAGAACACATCATCACCATCGTTATCTTAGTCAACGCTTTGTCAGCGTGAACACGTCACCCATGACCTGCAATATAAAACTTAATGTGGCTGAAAACTAAGCATGTTAAAAAGAGATGCATACATTAATTAGCATAGCAAAGGCTAAATTAATTGCAATAGCATATACCATTTCATAAATGATACTCGATTATTCAATTACCCTTGACAATTAATTGTAACAACACACACACACACAGACACGGCATTTTCAATTGTATTCGCCATTTTATTCCATTACGTTACGCTCATTAGGAATGCACTTTCGTTCACAATCGCCAATTAATCTAATCATTCTCCATCGGGGCACCGTCAGCTCCGCCGTGAATGCTACCACCCAGCGTGCGCGTTGCTGTGCCGTGGCGAGCCACCGACAATCGACACTCACGACCCGGTTGGCCAAACCCACCCCTAACCCTGCCCTGGCCCTAACCTTAGCGATCGGGACTCCACCATTCCCTCCCAGGGAAATCCATTGGCCAAAACGCGAGTGGCAATAATTCACGGGATGGAAGGTCCCTGTTAGGTCGTTTCCACTCCAGACAATGACGGCTCACACAGCTCACATTATGCTGCTCGGCCGATGTACACGGAGCTCGCGCCACGTGATTTAGATATATTACGGGGGGGAAGGGGGGGGGGCATTAAAAGTCCTTTGCGTGGAAGAGTATCATTATCCGTTGTCAATCGTTCTCTTTATAATGCAGCAAGAAGATGCGTCTCAAGTGAGCCTCCCGCGTGGCTAACTTGAGAGGCCTTCAAGTTAATTAAATCCCTAATCCGTTTCTAGTTAAACCGTTACAACAGTTGTAACAAAAAGTTCAGCATAATACATCATAACCAGCCAATGTAACACTTCATTGATGAAGATTACATCGTGAATCTAACAATTAATTAATTCTAACAACAGGTTAATTGTTAATTTAGACTAATAGAACGCACGGAAAAAAAAGAATAGATTTTTCAATTAAGAACCGTTACCGACAATTCATCAGAGTGCTGCGAGCAGACCCTATCTGTACGTGCCTACATCGTAACAATCCAGCTACGGCAACACGAGGATGCGGTTCTCTTTTCAATCTGTGTCGACACCTAGTGGCAGAAGAGAACACTTAGAGTACAAAACTCAACGTCCCTGTGGCCGCGACCTTCAAAAGTTGCATTCTTCGCCGTCTTACAGCGGAATGTTAATGCCTCCTCCTCCTTCAACAAACCCCCAGTTTCGTCCGCCCATTAAATGCAAATCCTTTGTTCTGTCACTTCAATCAATCTTTGGCATTTTTTTGTTTTAGGCCTGTTTGCTTTCGAGTTTCATTGCAGTCTTCAAATTTCCCCCCCCCACACCCCCAAAAAGTGTTTTTTCTTTAACTATCGGTTGTACATTTATTTATTTAAAGAATGTTTTCAGACTTAAATCATCATTAAAAACAGGTGAAGGTCAAGAGGTCACCATTAGCCGATGCCTCAGATGCCAACCACACCACCAACTCGCCCATCGCTACCTGCTGCCCGATCCCTCAGCTGTTGCCGAGGGCGCCACGGTGGCGAGATGTTATCTCCCTCGTCTAGTATGCAGGAGGTCGTGGGTTCGATCCCGACTGATGCCTGTACATTTGGAATTTGCATGTCCATCTCCCGGCGGTCGCGTGGATTTTTCTCCGGGTCCTCCGGTTTGTTCCTCCACGTTTAGAAACGACGTCACGCGTTTAGAGTATTTGTCTGCTGTACATTTCCAAACAAGGAGCCATTTCGTCCAGCTGCTAGCATTCGTGATGGGCAGGTTGCTTCTGGAAAAAAAGCTACATAGCTCAGTGGGGCCTTACCTGGTTAAAATGAAAAGTTGTTTATAGTTTAGTTTTTAGTATAGTTGCATGTCGCTAACCTGGGCGAGGGGGGTTTGAGCTCGTGTGCTGAGTGGTGGTGGTAGGTGGCTGGTAAGAGCACTGGGGAAGAGCAGCAGTCCTCTCCCAGTGTGTGTGGGAACCAGGCTGTGAACAACTCTCCCCTCTCCACTCACAGCCTGCTGTAGGAATTCGAGACATTTATTTGATTCAGAAATAAACATCACCGGTTTCTTCTCACCTGTACAACTTCAATGCGCACTTCCATGAGTTCTGCCTAGTGTGTGCAGTGTTGTTGCTCCATTAACCTCAGATGCAACGTCATCATCGAGTTTGCACTGAACGTGCACAAACTGTAAGCAATCAACCTCTCACGCGCAACGATTACTTACATGCATGCATCGTAATTGCAGGAATACATTTTAATCAATGGATTGGTTGTGCGGTGAACCTGACGGCCTGAGTTCGAGTCCCACGCCCCCCCGGGTAATGGCGAACATTACCAGTGATATCTGAACCAGGTCCTGGGTCTCCCCCATCTCTCACGAACAACCCATACTGACCGGGATAGTGAAGTATGGTCAAGACAACCGACGTGGCCAAAGACTAGGTGGCCATTAACAGTCAATCCAGCTCACGTGCGATTTGACAATTAATACTATGCACTTAAAAATCTAGAATGAAATTTTATTTAATTAGAATTACTATTTTGTGTTTAGTTTGTTGTCCTTCCCCCGCCCCTCGGATTAGCACGGGTGGCTACGTACGGTGATAAGTTTAACATACATATATACTAAATTGTTCGTGCAGATTGTGAGTTTAATCTAGTAAAGCGTATGTATTATACACAGTAATTATACGGGGCACATGATGGAGTGGCAGCCAAGGAAGAGAATACACCCGAGAATGCATCTACCAGGGAGATGGAGCGATGAAATCAGCTCGTGTGCACGTTCTCGGTGGAACATTAAGAGAGATGGCAGTGCCTTGGGGGAGGCCTTCATCCAGCAGTGGATAGACTAACGACTGTAAAGTAATTAAAGTGAGAATTGGCGATGCTATCTTCACAACCAAAGGACCCAGTATCCTGCTGTAGTGGCATCTCCTGAGCATCTCACAGGGAAAGCCTAAACAAACATTGACTTATCAGGCAGTCTTTGCGACAGTTTGATAGAACCGAGTAGGAAATTAGAGTCATCTGGAGAAAACCCACGCAGGCGAGAGGATAAGTCTCAGTCGTGCAGACAGGCTCACGAAGCACATTGCTGCTGTGCTGCCCTCTGCTGGCCGTGTCGCAGCATAGCAGCTTGGGGGGGGGTGTTGCAGGGCTCTCTGCGAGGGCGCAAACCCCTTGTGTCTGCCCAAGCGCCGGATTTACCGGCACACACTACCGGGGGCGGCCACGCCAATGTGTAAATTTGATCGCGGCAAGTGCTAATTGAATGCATAGTGAGCGACGGCCTTTAATTTACACCGCCGTCTTCACGGTATTAGTCAAGCAGCTGTTTCATTAAATGCATCACTTCCCGTAAGAGGATGCACCAGGAAAGCGGATCTGTAATGTTTACATACCGAAACTTGAGAAAACAACTTTAAAGTTTCGCAATACGAATTATGTCCAGGATTGCTGGCACAGTGGTTAGCGCCCGATGCTGTGAACATGAGTTTGATTCCTGACCACGGTTAATTATGCATGACTCGCATCATGGCTGGTGTGATGCATCATATTGTACTGTGAGCTACATTTCCATTGTACACAGTTCTGGTTGTTTATTATCCATGTCGTGTATAAAATAGAACCGATTTTGTCCCATCCAACCCCTGTAAACCCTCCCCTCCCATGTAACGTGCTCGCTACCGTCATATCAGCTGTTTTGGGCGGGTTGTCATGGATAAAGAGGTTTCTTAGCTCAATGGACCTTCTTGGAAATTAACTGACTGTTAACATCAGTGCTGAGCAATGTCTAAACTGGTCCTGGGCATGCTCACTGGCCAAACTGGCGAGCAGGGTGAAGTATGGTCAAACATCTCCCATGACTGACATGGAATGGGAATACCTTAATCCAGCAATGGATTGACAGAAGGCTGGAAACTATCAAATTTTTTACCAGACATTTAGATAACGCTTTGGTTACTATGTTATGTAAAAGAGCACAGCATTCAGATGCCACTCATGTCAGTGCAAGTGGCAATTTGGCATCAAATGATGAATTATATTCTTGGTTCTTTCGGTAAAGTCACGTGACTTTACCGAAAGAACCAAGAATATGAATCCCTGCAGTCACGAAAGCTTTAAATCAAAATGATGAATTGTGAGATACAAGACACGGGAATATTCACGTGCACATGAGCAGTCTTCTGCACACTCCATCAACTCACATTCAGAGATGGAATATAACAAGCTTGCACTTTTACATCAGATAAAAGTAAATACCTGCCAAAGTGTTTTAATGGACTCGTGCCAGGTTGAAAAATTTACAATGTAAGTGCAATCATGCGAACAGCTTCACTGCTTGAGACGAAAAATTGGCCAGCAGTGCATCACGTTGTGTCTAGGGATTGATTTTTGAAAGATGACGTCCCAGTACAAATCTCCTGTCCGCAAAAAGCAGTGGACACGTTTATTTAAAATGGACGGTAAAGCATCAGTTAGTGCTCAGAATACGTGAAATTAAGGGAATCGCGAAATTTATCACAAAAAGTTTTTGTGCAGTTATTGTTAACTAGGAAAAGACCATTTCCTTCCATCCCTAGAGCCTGGTTTAAGCACGCACGACTGAAGCCAGATTTGAACTCAAGATCTCAGAAGTGTTGGATTAGTGCTCTGATACGTGAAATTAAAGTAATTCCAAAATGCATCACGAAAGTTTTCCTGTGCAGTCATTGGTGAATGGGCAAAGACCATAACTTCGTTCCATCCCTAGAGCCTGCTTTAATCACGGGCGACTGAAGCCAGATATCAACTCAGGATCTCAGCAGTGCCGGCTATGCGCTCTGATAGGCTATTTACCAAGCCTCTGAACCACCTTGTTAAGCTATAACCAAACTTTCAGACCTTTCCAATCCACTGCGGAATTACGACACCCCCATGCCGCATCGATCACGGAGGCTGCTTGACCGTACTTCACCACACCACACTGGTCGGGGTGAGTTGGTTAAGGGGATGCGTGCCCAGAACATGTTCAGATATCCCTCGCCACTGGCGTTAGCCGTGGCTGTTACGGGAACGCTGGGATCCAGGTCCGCAGTGCAGCACGCCGACGACTGTGAAACCGCTCCCCCCTCTCTGAGCTATGCAGGTGATTAAACGCTCTTGGCTCCTGTAGGAGTTCACGGGCTGCATCGCTGTAGCCGTCTCACAGCCAAGGTGTGCCTGCTGGCCACCTGTGTACAGTGTACCTGCGGCTTGCTGTTGCAGTGCTGTGTGCTGATGATGACGCCGGCCTCCTCTATCATGCGCAGGATGGTTCCGCCATGGACGGTCCCTGCAATGTTTGCATCATCCGGACGCATTATCCTGGAAGGGAAAAAAAAACATAGTTGACTCACTCGGTGACACATATTTAGTATCTCTAGAAGTTGTTGCATCGCAGGAACCCGAGGGATGGAAATTGCTTGGGGAGGAGGCCTTCATCCAGAAGCAAATTTATCACGAATCATGATGACAATGCTAATAATCTCTGGGTGCAGTGGCGTTGAGGATCCAGTGCTTTTGACGCAAGGGTTGGCGGTAAATAACGGTTTATCAAATGTTTAAATGTATTATGGCCTTGAGGAGCACAATTACACTAGGACACCCTTTATACGCAACACTTGAAGAACCAGCAATGTCGTGGATGCTCTCGGTTAAATGTATCAAACATTGAAAGTTCGAAATGGGAGTATTGTTTCTATGCATCCCAGTGTTCATGAGCTTGTTCACCACGACTCAGACAACCATGACTCAAAAGGCACCACGATTTTGGAACCAGGTGGGAGCAGTGTGTGCAAGTGGTCACCTATCCAGTCTGCAATGCCCGTGGCTAAAGACATCATGCGGGATGATTTAGCTCAGCCTGTTCAAGGTGTGGAGCTAGAACGTGCCTCCCACACAGGACTCCCTTAAGGTCACAATACATTCGGGAAACTGCAAGGCAATCACTTCCGTTAACTGTTGCGGGCAAAGTTTTTGCCATTTAGCGACTGCGGCTATTTGGTATGCCAATGGCATGTAGTGATAAGATTTATTTCTAGCGAATAAGAACAGAGTTGGTTGAAAAATGCGCTTGGTGGACAATGATTTGTCTAGAGAACTCACAACCTTGAGTTGTCATGTGACCTCCCCCTATGATTTGAAGCCTTCATCGAGATTACCCAACAACGAGCAGTGTGATCAGATTTGTCCAGAATTGGGCAACTATTACCTTTAACAATAGACCATGGAATGTCCGGTGACAAATGGCACACGATCGAAAGAGATAATCGCGGCATTTGCCGAGTAGACAGAGTTCATACCTGGACACGTGGACTGGCATCTTTCTCGGGAGGGTTCTTTGAGAGATGTTCACTTGAGCAAAGACGCTGATCTGTCGGCTGAGACAAGTCCGTTGCAGCAACCGCGTGGCGATTTGAACCCTGCGATGGGAGCGAGACACACGGAACGCTCAAGTAACATAATTTCTGATGAATACTAAGCCGGCGGAAGCTGATCTGCATGGAGCGTTGGGGTGGCACCCCACATTAAACTAGCAATATAAAAAAGCATCTTGTGAGCCTTAATCTATGGCAGGCAGAATGACTCAGAAATAATCGATATATTGCCGACTGCCCCAATGAGATTAACGTGAGAGTAACTACTCATTGTCATTGTCCAACTTAACAGAATGCCACCGATTGCCCACCCGCTGAAAAGGATGACGAGATAGGGGCGCAAGTCATATATGTCTGGCCCATAATGAGTGAGTCACAGTTCCAAGGGCACTTGCATTGGGGGCAGCCTCCTCCCCAATCACCGCCTCCACTCCCCCAGCCCCTCCCCACCCCCTGACCAGGCATGCTTGCTTGTTTTGCAGTACGCAACACGAGGAAGCATCCTGTGTTGGCATCAAATAAATGCATTCAACAGGTGTTGCATTTTTCTTAGTTTTTTCGGTAAAGTCACGTTGAAGAGAAACAACAAAATAACAAAATATATATAAAACAATAAAAAATTATCACGACGTTTCGACCATAACTCAAACGGTCATCATCAGGTGTGTCGGTTTGCATAAATTTATTTTGAAAACGGCATATTTATTTATATATATAAAAATAACGTTTGCGTCACGCGCAACGATGGCAGTTTGCCAGGACTAGTCCATCTATTTTTTGAAAAGAGGAGGGGGGAGACGAAATTTGTTTTTATGTATGCTGTCTGAAAGGCACTGTAAGCGTGAACAATCAATCAAGAACTGAAATGATTTATCAAATCTTTCCAATGATTGCTAAGATAGAATCCATCTTCTCGGTTGAAATTGTCTCTGTGTTTGTATATGTGGATAGCCTCATGAACGAATCTCTCATGGAAGCCAGATGGCTTACAAAGAACCTCCGTCTTGGAAAAGTCAATGGCATGTGAGCCTACTGAATTAGAACAATGATCTGCTACGGCCGAGGTGTTGGTCCTACCGTGTTTAAGGTCTGCTTTATGTTCACGAATGCGGTCCGAGATATGGCGTTTGGTTTCTCCAATGTAACTACTACCACAGAGGCAACTTAGTTTGTAGACACCAGGGTATTGTATGTCCGGAATCACATCTTTTACAGACGGAACCAGATCACGGATTTTATGTAATGTGTTGAAACGGACCTGGATCTTGTGTTTATTCAAGATTTTGGAGATCTTTTTTGTGATCCCAGCAATGTAGGGTAAAGTGATGGTTTTGAAAGGCTCCTCAAGAGGGTTCTTCTTCATGGTTTGAGTAATAGCTTTGCGGATTGTATAGTCGGAGTAACCATTAGCCCTAAGAGCTTGGTGTACGTGCTTGAGTTCACTGCTTATGTGTTCCTGGTCGGATATTCCTGTAGGAAAGCTACCCATACTGATGCTTATCTGAAACCGGATTCCCACCACCATCCATCACAGAAGAATTCTCTCATCAAGACTCTGTATCATAGAGCCCAATGCATATCCGACCAGGAACACATAAGCAGTGAACTCAAGCACGTACACCAAGCTCTTAGGGCTAATGGTTACTCCGACTATACAATCCGCAAAGCTATCACTCAAACCATGAAGAAGAACCCTCTTGAGGAGCCTTTCAAAACCATCACTTTACCCTACATTGCTGGGATCACAAAAAAGATCTCCAAAATCTTGAATAAACACAAGATCCAGGTCCGTTTCAACACATTACATAAAATCCGTGATCTGGTTCCGTCTGTAAAAGATGTGATTCCGGACATACAATACCCTGGTGTCTACAAACTAAGTTGCCTCTGTGGTAGTAGTTACATTGGAGAAACCAAACGCCATATCTCGGACCGCATTCGTGAACATAAAGCAGACCTTAAACACGGTAGGACCAACACCTCGGCCGTAGCAGATCATTGTTCTAATTCAGTAGGCTCACATGCCATTGACTTTTCCAAGACGGAGGTTCTTTGTAAGCCATCTGGCTTCCATGAGAGATTCGTTCATGAGGCTATCCACATATACAAACACAGAGACAATTTCAACCGAGAAGATGGATTCTATCTTAGCAATCATTGGAAAGATTTGATAAATCATTTCAGTTCTTGATTGATTGTTCACGCTTACAGTGCCTTTCAGACAGCATACATAAAAACAAATTTCGTCTCCCCCCTCCTCTTTTCAAAAAATAGATGGACTAGTCCTGGCAAACTGCCATCGTTGCGCGTGACGCAAACGTTATTTTTATATATATAAATAAATATGCCGTTTTCAAAATAAATTTATGCAAACCGACACACCTGATGATGACCGTTTGAGTTATGGTCGAAACGTCGTGATAATTTTTTATTGTTTTATATATATTTTGTTATTTTGTTGTTTCTCTTCAACGTGACTTTACCGAAAAAACTAAGAATATGAATTACTGCAGTCACGAAAGCTTTAAATCAGGTGTTGCATTGTTAATCTCACTACATTCTCTTTAACCGAGGAGATGGGAGCGATTGCAATAGGCCCGTATGTGCACGCGCCAAGTAGATTATCACATCGTAGCATCGTGAGAGGTCGTGGCGGTTTGGGGAGTCCTTCATCCAGCAGTGGATTGACCATGGCTGATGATGATGATTATTACGACCGTCTGTACATGAAAGTAGTCACTGTGTAATAGGAATTGCCAAAGCTATTTAATTAATAATACGTACTACATATTACTTAAATGTGTAGTACATTATTTAAATGTGTGGAAGGTATTATTAATTAATATATTTGTGGGAGGATCAGGTGTGGCGGTCGCAGACTCCATGATACAGTTTTCTACTCCTCTAAAGAGCCTCAGCATCACACTCGACCAGAACATGTCATTTGATCACCACGTGCAAAATCTAGTCAGGTCCTGCAATTTTCATATCAGGGCTCCAGGACATATTCGACCACGATCGAGTCGCGACATAGCCAACACGGTGGGGTGTAGCATATTATTGACAAGGCTCAATATTGCAACTCACTACTCTATGGGACATCTGGGATAACATTACCAAGCTGCAACGTGTACAAAATTCTCTGGCACGCGTCATGAAGGGTCCTGCAAGATCCGACCGTGTCCGTCCGGTGCTCGCCGAGCTGCATCGGCTTCCGGTTGCCGAACGAACACAAAATATGTGGCACTCATTGCACACACACACAAGCTGCTTGCCACCAATGAACCACAATGCCTTGCTGATCTCGTCAAGGAGCCCAAACCGTCATGCAAACTCCGGTCACCCTTGCAGCAGCAGCAGCAGCAGCTTTTGGCTAGCCATCGAACAAAGGCGATCACTGCATCGCGCGCTTTCAGATGCGCTTCTGCGACGATAATAGGAAGCCACTGAAGATATGCACTTTTAAATCATCTAGATTTAAAACCGATTTCTTTAGAACTGCGATGTGCGTTTAGTTTGTTGTCTTTCCCCCGCACCTCCGATTACCACGGTTGGCTACGTGCGAAGCGAAAGAACATACATAAAGGAACTGAGTGTATGAAACAAATAAGTGAATGTGCTGCTCCTTGGACAGTGTGTGCATGTACACTCTGTTATCTTTACAAGCCTCAGGTGTTTATTCTTTGATTAAAAACACTCGTTTACTGCATGCGATTTGGCGACTGCTATCTGTCTGGAGTGACAATCAGTAAACAAACACGTGCTTACCAGAAGCTCGACCGAGGAAAAAAAGTGCCTGCTTGCCTCTGATTCTGAGACGCTGATGTGGCAAAGCCTATGCTGTTCTTCGTTAACACCGCAAGCAACCCCTGTTGACTCTATACTAGTGGTTCTTCTTAGCCTGGTATGCACGCAACCCTTGGGAGTGCGAGATGCCCTTTCTGGGGGTGCGAGACATGCCAGATTTGTTTTAGTAGGGAAATCATTGAAAACGCAAATGGAGCATGGGCACGTTAGTACAACAACTTTGTTTCATCAAACCCCTATGTATTTATTCACATTATATTAATAATATTGAGAACCAAAGGGGTGCCAGGCTGCAGTAAAGGTTAAGAACCACTGCGCTATACTAAAGTGGTGGAAATTCCACATTCCCAAGACAGGTTAACCCGTATATTGAAGAACAGAAATGTAGATTTTTCCAGAAGGTGGTGCAGCTGAGTGTTATGCTCCTTCTTAAGCAGCTTGAGCAATTAAGGAGGGTTTTATGAGGTTACATTTGAACCCAAAACAACTGGAAGCGTTTTATATTCTAGAAACATATCCAGATCGATATACAAGGTGGACACATTGTAAGATACAACACTAAAAACATAGGGAGAAATTATATTGATGACAACATTATTTCAAAGCATCTCCATTTCTCCCACCAATCACAATGAAAATATAAAATATTATAACACTCTCGTGATATACTTTGTCCAAGATAGCCGGTCTGATGTGCTTACGACAGTCAAGCATGCATAAGTTAAGGTCACTGATATGTAAGGGAGTCACTACAAATGAGTCTGGTAACTAAACACCGATCACATTGTACACCCTACATGCCTATGCGCCGAAATAAATTATGTAATTAGTACGTTACCTGCAATGACATATGGATTTAAAACATTGATATCGATAAGGGAAATGGAATAAAAGCTGGAGATTGCACGAATAAATATGCTTATAATTACACGGAGAGGCAGAAATAGGACATACACAAGTTAAAGGTGTTTAGCATTGTTAACAAAAGTGGGCTTGAGTAGGCAACAGAAGATATGGATAGTTTATAGTTGAGACTGGTGACTGAACATTGTGAAACATGTCAACTTACACATTATGGACATGTTGTACGCGCGGTGTATGTGCACTGAACTGTGTTGTATTAAAATAATCGAAATTAGCATTCCAACATGAATAAAACATGTGCGCTGTATGAATGAATTTTATTGATCGTGTACAATGCTCTCTTGCAATGGTAGGTTTTGTTCTGCTTGGTATGCAGGTATCTATTGTGGTGGGGGGGGGGGGCTATACACTCTTACCAAATCAAGCCATAAACATAATACCATAACCAAAACTCTTATGTGAATACATGTGTAGTGACATAGAATGGGTGAATAGGGTGCGTAACGCTGGTTACTGGCAGAGAGGGGGATTGGTGGGTGTAGCAGCCCGGTCTGCTAGCAGGGCACGTGATAGGCCGGAGAAAGGGATGTCGGGCAAAGGTGACGGAGGGGACACGTGAGGTGAAGCCAAGAACCTTCTGGTAGGTTCCAGAAGGGGGCGAGGCCGAGGGCGGAGCCAGGCCATGCTGGGGGAATAAAAGGGAGAGCCCGACTCTGGGTCGGGGCTGTCGTCTAGAATGGAACCCGTCGTGCTACACAAGTCTTCGTGCTCATCTTCACCTCCTCGGCGTTGTGGTCAGGCAGTGCGCCGGCTGTCCTGACCCGAGTATAGTTAGCCCCTGTACCTGTGGTGGCTGAAATAAACGAGTGTGCCTCCTAATATTAGTGTCTCCGAAGTGACTCACTACACCTGTAATAGGATACATCTGCCACGACCCTGGGTAACTCCTGTTATCATCAATAATAATATAATGTGAAGTCAATTGTTGATCCACTGCTGGATGAAGGCGTCCCCATGCTATGGTTGGTCATGGGGACTGTTTGACCATACTTCACCAAGCTATTCAGTGTGGGATGCTAAAATAAGGTGCAAGGACTGGTTAAGAAATCACATAGCCACTGATGACAGGCGTGACTGGGAATCGAATTCGGGCCTCTGTGTTCAAAGCACAATGCCCTAACGACTGTGCCACCACTCCACCGACTGCTATCCACGACTTCGCCCATCCTCCAACGCTTTCGGCATTACTCTCATCCAAAATATACCCAAAATAGTGTGTGATCTAACAACCGATGTCATATTTGGAGTAGCTGTCCGAAAAAAAAGAACCTCTCAAACAATACCCGTTTCTATATCACCATTTAAAATCTACGAAAAAAAAAATTTCAACCGGGTCTCAAAACTGAAAATGCAGACTTTTCAGACGAACAGAAACCTTACGCCATGTTTGCCTTCAGCAACCTTCCAAACCAACCCACACAAACTTTAGCAGAGAGGGTTCGCAAACGAACCCGTTCTGAATATTTGCCCAAAGACACAAACATATATTTTTTTATCTTCGTCTTGGTTCTTTCGGTAAAGTCACGTAGAATGAGAATAAAACAATAAGACAATAAAATTATCACGACGTTTCGGTCACAACACAAGTGGCCTTCTTCAGGTGAAGAAACAGGTCTGTCCAGGAGACAGAGCTTGAATGGACGCTTTCACGCAAGGACCGAGTCTTTTTAAAGCTGTATGGGCGGAGTTGGATTAGCAGAGTTGGCTTAGCATGTTACCAGCCCCCATCTCCGGGGCGGAGGAGGGAGGGGTGCTGGTAGGAAACAAACAACAATTATCTCTCTAGCCACAAGCAGACATAACTACTACGGTCCTTAGATGGCAGAGGTGAGGTAGAATTTCCATCAGTCAGTCAGTAAGTCACTCACTGCCAGCAATGTCACAGCAGAAGGTGCATGTAAAGCATTGGCAATAATTCAGCATTTCCATGAACGCCGATTTAATATGCAGCAGCATACGTTATTTTACGTGATGTGCACGTTAGACTGGTGTATATGTGACCAAATATACAGCGGATACATACGAACATGTGTTTAAAGGCTGCTTCTTTGTTACACCACGACAATCTCCATATATATAAAAGGCAGAATTGTGAATGTCTGTTCAAAATGTTTAGCGTACTTCCCGACATGCAACAAACTTGAAATTTGCCATATGGGTACTTTCCAGACTGTACACTATGCAAAAATTATAAAAATACATTTCGATTTAAAGCTTTCGTGACTGCGATGATTCATCTTCTTTGGTTCTTTCGGTAAAGTCACGTAGAATGAGAATAAAATAATAAATTGATAAAATAAAATAACACAATAATATTCTCACGACGTTTCGGCCACAACACAAGCGGCCTTCATCAGGTGAAGGGACGAGACTGTCTGGTAGGACAGCGCTGGAGTGAAAAAGCCACGCTCAGATCACGACCTTTAAGCTGTGTGAGAGGAAACAAAGCGCCTTGACAAAGGAATTAGCATATAATTTAGCATTGAAATGGCTGAGTGATTAGCTTGTGACTGGTCACAGAAATGGCTATGTTAAAAGTTAAAGCATACACATCTGCAGAGGCACCCCTTGACAAAGGAATTAGCATAGAATTTAGCATTGAAATAGCTAAGTTAAAGCATACACATCCGCAGAGGCACCCCTTGACAAAGGAATTAGCATAGCATTTAGCATTGAAATAGCTGAGTGATTAGCTTGTAACTGGTCACAGAAATAGCTATGTTAAAGTCAGAGCATACACATTCACCGAGGCAACTAGTACAAATCAAACAGGAGAATTTAGCATTGAAATAACTAGGCGAATTTAGCATTGAAATAACTGAGTGATTAGCTAGTGACTGGTCACAGAAATGGCTATGTTGAAGTCAAGGCCTACACATCTGATCTATTCACAGTAACTGGGTATACAATACAATATATAATGAATACTATATAGTGAACCAATAAAAAAAAACTAAAATATAAATTACCTTAATGTTATCAATAAACTCTATATTCTCCAATCAGCTAAGCTACCAACAATAAGTCGTTATATATCACAATGCTATATGGCGAAAAAAAATGGGTGGATTCTTACCCTCAACTTTAGCAACACGGATAGCTACGGGCCCCGTTCAGACGGACGAGTTCATCCATGGTCGGAACAGAGAAGGGGGAGAGAGACAGCTGCGCGGCGCTATTATACTCTATGTTGTAAAACCATACCATTAACCGGCCACGGCCACCACCGGTGACGATTATTTTAACCGGTCCTGGGATTCCCCTAGGTCGACTCAGCCTCAAACGACTAACTGTTGTGGTGTGAACATCGCCACTGGGGAGACAAAGGCGGCCGGGTGTGGTGAATCCAAGTTCCGGGCGAAGCCGGGTAGTACAGCTAATATTTTAATAAAGCACGGTTCCTGTTACTGGCACACAGCTGCACAGGTAATGTTTGTCTAATGCAGAGACCTAGGGTGTCATATGTCCCTCGCGCAAGTGCAGAGTGTACGAACGATGCTGCTGTATTCTCTGTGTTTTGTGGAGTCCCAAAACTCTAACTACACGGGTTATTTATTTATTTCTAATCTCAATTGAATCTATATTTTATTTCTGTTAAGTTCAAGAATTGACTTAATTTTTTACGTTTGGTTTTATTTACCTTGCTATCCATTCGTTTTTTTAATAAACTGAATAACCCACTATCTGTACTTTAACTTATCCACAACACACATGATCACAATATTATTCTACTTATGACTCAGACTTCTATTTCCAAGCGGACTCTCACTCACGAATCATGATTTTCAGACACATTTTAAACAGACTTGACCCTGCCACAGAAATGTATAATTCGCCAGCACAAATGTCCCAAACTCATGACCCGACCAATCACCCCTCGTTGATTTCCGTGAATGACTCCGCCCATAGCGCAGCGAGAGAGGTCACGGTCACCAATGCAGTAAACCTTTCAACATTGAACACAAATCTTCGCATACCACACACCATAACGTCGCAATAACCCCCCCCCTCCCCCCAATAGCAACATCCACATTCAGTAGCGACAACTCAGCACAGGGTTTGCGTTGGAATGTTAGGGCGCGTACATACATGGCCCTGGAACTTGTATAAAGTGGCTGCGCTGTGTACTTTGTAACCTTGTGAGTAGATCACTCGAAGACAATCCCGAGTTGGCTGGCAGGGCTGTCCCTGCACGCCCCGGTTTTCAACGCGAGCTCAATCGGGCTTCCAATGATTGGACAGCTCCCCTTCACATTACCCAGCGCGCACAAGCGACCGCGGATGGTACGGCGCGCCCGATTGGCCAGAGTCCACCCCGCGAACGGCGTCTCGGCCAATCGCAAGCGGCGACGCGGAGCGCGTTGCCTATCCGATGTAGGGAATGCAAAACTGCCGCCTCACGCACTACGGCAAGAATACAGTAACAACTGTAATGCAGTGGGACAGGTTGCGGGCGCCTCTTAAGCCCCTTGCGTTTTGCGCGGCGAAACGGATTAGAAGTATTAGCATAAGCTCTGATTTTGACTTGCAAACTCCGACGTGTAAGCGCGAGTCAAATATTGCGAGCCTTAACGATGCGCGAGCGGCCACAATTTAATTTGGAATGAGGCCAGCCGGTCACGACGCAAGCACTTTCTCGATTCGCGTGTGCCGGGAAAATGTTACGAATGAAAATCGGAAGATGCGTAAAAAGCCAAAACGTTTGCCGAATAACTTACAAATGTTTTCGTTCAATAGAACATTAAATTCAAGGTCACTGTGATTATTATTATTATGTATTCGTTGTCACACGACAAGTATTAAACTGGCGCGAGTAACGCCGCGCCGAGAGCCGGTACGTACCCTCGTGTCTTCCTTGTGTGCCGGTGAAAGCGCGTTTCGTATGTCGGGAGGAGGGCGGTGGGCGGTGGGGGCGGTGGGCGGTGGGGGCGGGAAATAACAACGCGTTTCGGCTTCCGTCGATGCCTGGCTGGCGACGCCATCAGATATGCACGTTGCTTCCAAGTCGTTGCTACCAAGTCGTTACTTCACGTTACTTCCTTCACGTTACTTACCTGACGTTGCTTTCAAGTCGTTACTTCCCTCACGTTGCTTCCCTCACGTTGCTACCTAGTCGTTGCTTCCAAGTCGTTACTTCCCTCACGTTACTTACAAGTCGCTTCCAAGTCGTTGCTTCCCTCACGTTACTTCCCAGTTGTTACTTCCCTAACGTTACTTCCCATTCGTTACTTCCATCAAGTTACTTCCCAGTCGTTACTTCCCTCACGTTACTTCCGCGGTCGGCAGACCCACGCGGTGTCGTTGCGTCCCGACACGCCTGTGGTGTCGGACTTGTTTCACGCTCCGCGAGCGTTCCTCTTGCACAAGCTCCACAGACGGTGGTTCAACGATGGACATTCACGTCGCTTATCCCGAACAATTAATCAGACACTTGCACGCGCTCGGCTTAACCAATATCAGAATCGGAATGTTTATAGACTGCAGGAGGAATCCGATGAGCTATGAAGCTCTTTTTTGTAATCTGCGAGTTTACATCAACAGACGATAACGTAACGACAACTGCCATTCGCGACGATGATGTCACAGCTCGTGCCAGGCTGGGTGCGCTTTGAGGCCAACCTTGAAGTGTCTGAAGGTTCTCTTCCGGCAAGAGGTCACAGGGACAGACCCAGGTGGCCATGGGTCGACTTGACATGCAACCTTTGTGCAATTCCGCTATTGTTTATTCTAAATATCGCGTGCAGCCAGGCGTTTCTTTACGCTCGAAGCAGCATCCGCTTCCTGTGCCGTAACACAGTTCTGTTGAGCAACTTTTCATTTCCTGTAGATATTCACACAGGACTTTTATAAATCCAGCTAAAGCCGCAGTGTCCAGCCAGTCGGATATGTGACGCTGTATTGTACGGTTGTCACTTGCGCCACGATACTCATTTTCGCCGTCTGTTTAGCTCGCTATAGCTGTCCAACCCTTTGGCTTTGGGCATTTGGACCAAGGGATTTGGCCATGCTAGGCAATGGTTCAGAGCAAGAAATTGGTACCACTTAATGTAGCCAACATAATGGCTAATAAGAGTGAATTACTTGCTAATAATCCACTCATTTCAAATGGTCATCACTTAACGCATTGTTATTGGCCATGTAAATAAAACAGGTCCCTGCAGGGTGGGCTGGTAGGACAAGTCTCTGCGTTGTCTATTGCTGATTTTACACCCAACAGCACGAGATTTCACTTCGTTAAAGTATTGAAAGGGGACGGACGGACGGACACATTAATCTATTGCAGGCTGGTACACTCAGTTTACAACTTCGTTCCTACCAGTATTACAACCGCTAAACTTAAGCCACCCCGGGTGATATTGACAAATATCTGCCCTACTAGCTTTTTTGCCCGTCCAAGGACGGATGTATATTGCAGTAAATCTGAAATATTAAAACATTGTTCAGCTCATGATTATTCATGAGGGGAGGGGTGCGGCATGTGGAGTCCACGACCTTGTGCCTTCGTGTAAATTTCCACGCGGACATGAATATTAATGAAGGGGGGGGGGGCTCTTTTTCAGTGACGTCACGCACGGATGTAGCACTGCTGCGTATATTTATGTTTTACCGTCACTTTGCAAAGAAACGTCATTTTCTAAGCGACTTTGCGTAATACATTAATTCAGCACGACCTGCGTTTGTGTAAAAATCGAGCCACTTCATGAATATTAATGAGGGGGGTGGGCCTCATGTGGATTGACGTCACGCGCGGGACGGACAGACATTTCTGGGTGTTTATAGTGGGTGTAATAGACCCATGGACCATTCTATGTGGGGATAGTGGTTTTCAAATATCAAGGCAGCGAATTGCACGGTACAACACACATCAGTGACCTATTACAAACGTGGCATGGGAATTGTATTTAAATATAAAACAAAACAGCTAACTGTTCATGAATTGAAAAAAAAAATACTCTGGCACTTTGGCAGCCAGCATTCTGTTTAAAAGGGCATATTTTCCACCAAAAGTGAATACTATTCCCTGCAACAATGGGCTGCCTTTTAAAACAGGGCTGCATCTCGTTTAGTGACGCTCCCCCTCATAAATATTTCATGTAACAACCCAGTACAGTTCTCAAAAGCAAATATGCCATCCACAGTTGTGTGGCATTGACATTGTACAGTATACTTGAGGCAAGAGAGATCCAAACGGGTTACTAATAATCGTGACATGCTTACCGATAGCACAATCGCGACACAACTGTGATTAAAAGGTATGATAGGCAGTGTCCGATTGGCCACGATTAATGCAAACATCCTGTGTTTGGGTGGTAGGAATTTGAACTGGATGTCTGGTGGTACCAGTGTGGTGTTTAACTTAACCATAGTACTGCACAATTGTGATCATGGACCTCGGCTGACAGAGAAATGTCTCCGGGTTTGATCTACGGTGGAAAATTTGGCAACTCAAATCTGTGCATAGTGTATAGTTTAACATATCGGGTTTCCGCGATTGATATTAATCATTGATTTAAAATGTCAAAGTGTGTTGTCCACCCTCCTCCACCCGACACAGTCATTCAAATAAAGTTGCCACGTGAACAAACGCGTCGATTGTTATTGCTCGGCCGACGGGACGAGAAATTGTGACAATGTTAAAAGAACACCAGAGGAACATTACCTACTCAAAAACACTAATTGTTGACTGTTGTGGAACATGCAGGACGTTCAATGTTTGTTGATAAGATTGGTATACTATGTAAAACGAATTACTGTGGGTCAAAACGAATTAGAAAACCGATTGACATTGGGATAAATAATTTCATTCCAGATGACTGCGATAGGCTGAGTGCGGCTTGGAAACACATTATAAAGTAATCACATCACAATCCCAATAGTATATTAAAATTAATTAAAAATGTAACACATTATATCATGACTTTTCAGTATAATTAACTAGGACTAAGCTGTATCACCAATCATATGTACCTTTACATCAACATCCAGCATCTTTATTTTAATCAATGTTATCGTTTGTGATTGCATTCAGCTCTTGGTATCACTTCCTGCTGCTCGTTCACCTTCGTGGAAATATTGATGACATCACGCCACAGATTCAAGGCCCAACCTTGGAGGAGACTTACGCAATTCTGACAATCGCCCGATTATGCAATTTTACAACCACGAGCGAAACGTGAGACCACATTGTTAAATGTGTGTGGATTGCTCAACAAGCCGTAAAAATGACGACTTTGGTTCAACACAAAATTTGATTCGCTCTGACAGCTCACCCACTGGTGTTCGACATGAAGCCGCGTGCGGACATATGTCCGTATTTCGAAGTGTAACAATTCATTTTAATTAGAGACTTCTCAAGACTGCTAATGTACACACACTCATACCATCATGTGTCCGCAGGTTTTGACCTCCCTAAGACTTCAATAAAAAAGCAGAAACTCGAGAATACTTGCATTTATTTTTAATCATTAAAATCAATGTCTAAGACAATTGTTTTGAAATTACGACCGCTTTCTACAGAAAAGAAAAGTACATTTCATGTTCCGTTTGGAGGTACATGCATTATTGACAAAGGATCAAACGGGGATAATCTATGCTAAATGATTTGTGTACAGTCGTATCATTGCGTTAGCTATATAACACAGTGGAATTACAGTAACTGTCTATAATAATTATTATTTCAAGCTTCTTACACACACAGCGGAACAGTTACAAAGTGTTCTTCAGTCCAAACACCGGGGGGGGGGTGGGTTTGCACAGTTTCACATTTAAAAAAAAAATCTTTAATTGGGCCGCTATATATTTTTTGTACATTTATGACTTTTTTTACATTATGTTACAAAAACACTCAGTAGCACATCATGGCACTAAGTTAAAAAAGCACCTTTGAAAGTGGTGACAAGTGAATGTATATCTGGCTGAACAAAAAATCTCCCAAGAACACCGAATAATCTCTTCCCTTAATTAAAACACAGATTACTCACAGACGACTCGTTACACGCTGTCGTGGAAGATTACGGGGAACGAAACATTACAATTAAACGTAAGCCTGCCTTTCCACGCAACGATCGAGCAATACTTTTGCCCCCTTAAATGTTTTACAGGCTCCGCTAATGAATCTGAAACCTTATGGCAGTCCAGGGGTTGTTAATGACATTACAGCAGGGGGAAATGGGGGTGTGGACTGATTCTTATTTGAACGCGGGGAAACACGACTGTTTTACATTTGTTTCAAAAAAGTTACGACAGAACAGCGAGAACAAACACTTCACATGGCTCTTGGTGTCCGAGAAGATGAGCATCTCAGAAGAATCATCACGGAACCCTGTAGAAGATTTATAAAGACTTCAAAAAAACTAGAATTTCGTGCATTTGTGGCTGGCGTGAGTTTCTCGGTCAAATGTTGAACTGGTCGAGAGAGGGTCGCCAACACGTGCACTGCCCAGGATTCTGTATCCTTTATTTTTCCGGCAGAACTTCGCCGAGTCGTTTAGACGCTTTATCACGGAGGGGTTTCTCTGCATGGCGTTGTTTGGCCAATTCCAACAACGATTGTATGTTTTGTGTGTGTAGAAAAATCTGAAGTATAATGGTTTATACCGGAGGAATCCGATGAGCTATAAAGCTTTTTCCACAGATATCCAGTATAAAACCCACAGGTACAGAGAGGGGGTGGGTGGGGGGGCATAACTCGAGTCTCCACAAATATCGATCCAAGTATCCATTTTCTGTACTTTCACATCCAGGCGACAGTGTGGCATATGCGGCGGATTTGGGAATTTCACGAATCTCAACACGATTCACCAACCCTTGTCTCCAAAGCGCTGAATACATTTCGCAGGCCTCTCTGGCTAATTAAAACGTAATTTCCAGCATACGTGTAAAATGCAATGCAGTTGACACATGATAGTATTGTTTCTCTTGTTTGACCGCCGCAAAATTAATTATCGCGAAAGTGTGTTCATTTATGTCTACATGTTTAATTCATAACAACACAATTTCAACCGATGAGATGCATCATTCATATATATCCTCGATATGTACAGACATATGAAGTATTAAACAAGCTGAAAGCATTTATTCCAGACAAAAATCACTGAAGCATGATGTTTTTAACTTTGTATTTTACATTATTTTACGATTTTATTCGGGATGCCAGGGTTGACTTCAATGTTCCCTTTTTTTTCTTGCTTGAAAGCGTTTACATATTCACTCCGTAACAAGGGGTCCGTCAATAACTCTCTTCATAAAGATGATAAAATGTTAACACAACTTGAGAGTAAAATTGTGCTCTTAATAGGGACTTGGCCCATTTAAAACTGCCCAACACTGATCAAAGCAAGGGCTGCCCAAAACAAGGGAGACAGAAACCTGAGCAGAGGACTAATTGCAAAGTTGAAAACGCGATGAGCTTTGGCAAGCTCCCGTTAGCTTCTGTACTACTAATCAAAGAATCCTACGGGGACAGACGCATGCTGGAGAGCCTACGTAACTCCGCGCGTGTCTTGACGTTCCCTAACCTGTTGACGATTGCCACAATATTTTTCAAATATCAACGGAGCAGAGAGGCCTTTGGGTTATTGGCATACATCAGGGCAGTTGTTACAAGAGCTGGGATTTGCCACCAGCAGCAATCACATCCACCCATCTACCACCAACTCAAAGCCACTCCCCCCCCCCATTCAAGCACTCCCTGACCAACCGGGTCCATCCAGACCTCCTTGGCATTCGGGGGGGCATGACGAGAACGCACTGGCCTGCCGATTATATCAGCCAGTGCTAAACACAGTAACACCCCCCGTCTCCACGTCCCAGGCAGACTTAGCGCGACCCCGCTGGGCGCACAGAAGATGTTGTACGCGTGTGGCTTGGTCAATGGTTAAGGGAGTGGGCTCCATGCAGGTGCGTGTCGGGGGAGGAAACGGGCCACTAGCGCTGGCACGAAAGCAACACCGATTGAGCAAGAGGCAAAACGAATGGCTCTTAGCCAACGACACAACCACCAGCCGCATCAATTCCATACTTTGAGCATTTAACTTTGTGTTGCTTTTTCATTTTAATGTACTCAAACGTGTTTTATAGATTACGTAAAAATGCGTAACTTTATAGCCCCCATGTCAGTCTTGGGGGCTATGTGACTATACTTCCCCATGCCGGTCAGCGTGCAATGGTGAAGTGTGGGAGATGGGAGGGTGGTGGGCGCGCGTTGGGGGTGCCCAGAACCGAATGAAACACCTCCTCCGCCACTGATGTTAGCCGCGGCTGGGAATGAAACTCGGGTCACCGGGCTCACGGCGCGGTGCGCAAACAACCTCCGTGCCCACCGCAGGCGCTTCGGACGCACGAGGGAGGACCTTACGTCGACTGTGCCGATTGGCGGTGCCCTCGTGTCGACTGTCAGTCGCGGGCACTGTGCGCCGACACTCTTGACTGGCAACGCTGCTCACCGAACGATTCCATTGCGTGCGATGAGAGCGCCAAGTGGCTCCTCTGGCTCTTCAAGTTCGTCTCCATCGAGTAGCCCGAGTCACGATGAAATCGGCTCTCCAGCAAACATGGAACGTCGGGTCAACGTTGCCCCAACGTTGGCATGTTGACCGGGTCGTGCCTGATGGTTGGGGAGGCCTTCATCCAGCAGTGGATTGGTCATGGCTCAGGAGGATGGCGATGATTAGTATTGGAATGTTTGTCCTGCCTGTAGGCGGGGTTTATCCCAGTTCTTGGCTGCACTTGTTATTCACCAACGTCATAATTATCACGGGGCTCGCCGCTTGCGATGAGCACGGCTGGCTATGTACGGTGTGAAAGAAGTTCAACGTACGTACAGTCAGACAATACAGGATGGCTCGCCATGCTTCGTCTGTTCACGCACCGTAGCATAGTCAGCATTTTTATTTTTAAAAGTGTTGTCAACCTTGATGCTTGCTCGCTGCATCAGCGTTTTTAAATGGTAATGAGAGCAAGCCGTGCAAGGGGAGTGTGAATTCTGAGAGAAATCCTGCAAGCGTGCATTTCAGCTGATGGGACGTTATTGATCGGAGCGATGTAAAAGGGTACAAAAAAAAACTGAACGCAATTGCTGCAAACATTAAACTCATGTCGCGTCTAAGTTGGTGGATATAATATTTAAGGTACCAATTAAATGTTTTTACTATTTGTAAGCATATGGATATACATGGCCTCCGCCATGGGAATGTGGAATTGCTACCACTGCTTAAGAGCCACTCTCATTACAAAGTGGAGGTGGGGGGGGGGGGGTCTTGCCCCCTTGTTTTAGGCGAGGCGTTTACCATTTCAACAACAATGGATTCTTGAATCTATTCGTGCGGAGTTTTAGGTGTGCGAGTTGAGTTTTCACCAAGTGGTCGGTGCCACATGTCCCACAATAAAGCCAGACACTTGTTTAGTGGGAATTGGCCAAACATCCTCAATGCAGGACCCTCCCTCCTGGAAATAAGTCTTGAGGCTCGCGGAGGCTTTCTCGGATCGGTTGGAGGTGTGGAGAGATGTTTCTTCAGCAAATAACTTTGACGCTCCCCCCTACCCCCACAATAAAAGAGAATATGCGAGGAATTAAGGTGATAAGGTTAATCTCTAAATTACTTTTTGTCTAATGCACGAGGCATTGCATTAAAAGGCGGAATTGGCGTGGTAAAGTATGAATTATCTTATGTACACAGTATACCTGATAGGAGGAGACAAGGTAAGAGTCCTCTCAAATTCCTCTGGATGAGAAGCAGACTGAGACGGCATTTGATGTGAAGCCTGTTAATGTTTTCACATCGTGGCCTCGGCCCAAGAGAGCAGGAACGAGTAATGTAAAAATGAGGTATTTAGCAACAAAAAGTGAACGTTTTAAAACACTTTATATATTAACAAACACAGGTTACTGTACAGAGGAAGGAGAAACATTTAAATAATAGGGATTTGTGTGTGTTGGTTTTTTTTATATATAAAAAGAAGCTACGCATTAAGGAGACGTGAAGCTGTCCTGTACCTCAGCCGTGTGAAAATGTTGTTGTTGATATAACTTTTTAATCAAATCAAGTCTAGATTTTAAATGTTTGATTTGGCACTATACGCTCACGAGTTTAACAATAATAATAATAATCAAATGTTTCTACACAAAAAAAAACACAATCCATCGTATTTTTCTTTCATGGTGACGTACGGATGGATACAAGTACAAAGCACGCCTAACGAAAGGCTGAACCCAGCGCAAGAAGGAGGACGGACTGAAACGCTCACGCGTAAAAGCATCGCCCGGACAAATAATCCGGTGAACACAACAACAATAACAAGCATGATTGTCCCTTTTTTAAAACAAACGGTAGCTCGCAACTTGATTCTATTCCCGCCGCCCGAAGATCACCATCCATCCATCGCTCTGATCAGAACGACGACGCAAAGACAAATCACGTTTGGTCCCCAAAATATAATGCAGGGGGTTGTGGGGGACGTTTCACGGTGCTCTGTCGGCTCATTGTTCAGAGTGATTTTTGAAACCGAAAAATGCATCGATTGCCAGATTTAATATAACTGCCATCATATGAACTGTTGAGTGAGATTCATTGTTGAGATTTGTACGTTTTATTTTATTTGTTATGAGCGATGGACCACAACGTAGTTGCGTGTTGGCTTAGTACGTTTTACTTTTCAGTTTATATATATACACACACACATTTTTTAATATACAGTTTACATATTATAATGACACTCCCTCACAAGTCCTTTGAGGAAATGTATAAATATTAGGAGGATCTGCCTTTTCATGATCTAACAAACCGTACTGCTATAATAAAGGGAAAAAACCCCCAGCATTTTTTCATGAAGGAATTTTGACATTTGCTGCGTGTGCTCACGATAAGCACTTCCAAACGAAATTCGTGTTCGCCGAAAGCGTGCAAGGCCGACACAGACACACGCAACAACTTTACACGCTTTTGGGGAGCGGATGCAACCCTTGTGAATGTGCTGCCACATCTTTATATTTCACACACACACGCGCACGCGCGTAACAAAATGTGTGTTTCCAATGACACTTAAGACCAGACGACGCCGTAAGATGCGACTTTTCTTCAATGCAAACCTGTCGTTGGCAACATAAGTTCTTAATAAAGCTAATGGCCATTGCAATCAACCCTCCATGAGAAATTCTCACTTACAAAAAAACCCACATCGAAATCCTATCGAATTGGGGTCAGCCGAGACCAGTGGAGCCTGAACCCCCCCACTCCCCGCCACCTTCTGCTACATTTGGCAAATTTCTGGACAAATAAGCGCGATGTCAGCAGGAGTTAGTTTTGTGTGTGTGTGTGTTGCTTTAGCTCGAAGCGTACAATTACTTTTCGGATAATTTTCACGATCGCGCCGGCAGCGCGTCGATTGCCTTCTCACGGCGGTGCCTTCTTGACGACGCTTCGCTGCGCTGGGAACAATCAAAACGTGCGCGGACGAACGTCGGATGCAATAATCCGCCGACGCTCTGAGCGAATGTTTCTTTTAATCTGGAGGCAAATAGCACGAGTGGGGACATCGACACTGTGATGTCAATACGAGTGGGAAACTCATACACACACATACATACATAAAAAAAGTAAAAATTATTTTTTTGTTTTGTTTAAAACCGTTAAGACAACTCGGCAACCGCAGCGTTGCAACCGACATTAAAAGCCTCAAAATCTCGCGGGTGAAAGAGCGGGCCGCGGCCCCCGCTGGCTCGCTCAAGCGCATTGCAGAATCGCGTCTCTCCTTGCCCAAACGGCAGCGGTGGTGTTTTTTCAACGCACAACTCTGCTCGCCAGGGCCCCCGGGGCAGCTTGGCGCGTGGCCTCGGGCCAATTCCACTCGTCGATGTGAAGGTTGAATGACGTTACAGCGGACGCTGGGGGATTTGCTATAAACTACCCTGAGAGAGAGAAAGTGAGACTCGATCTCTGACTGGAGACCCTCATCCCAACTCAGATTAACCCTCATCAGCTGAAATGGAGCACAATTTGTAATTTTAGTCGTCACTTTTTTTTGGTCCATTTGATTGTTTCTCTCTCTCTCCAGTTAAAATCATTAATGAAACCTAATGCAGAGATTTTAAATACTGTCCTGTGTTGTAATTAAAAGGCATTTAATATCCAATGTGTCAAATAAAACCATTGCAAATCCTAGCAGGGCGTACTCGTAAGCCAACACGCTGTGCAGTAATTTTCACAAATGCTCTTTCCTTTACAGGGGGGGGGGGTCCTTAAGAAATGTCACCGAATCCCATTGGTGTTTTCTGATGCCGCGAGGTCCCATTTATGATATCGGCGGAATCCTGTAGGATGTGTTTTTGGCGGGAAATCTTCATTATTTGGCCACTGTGTGCATTATAACCGTTCTAAACGCCGTGCAAATGCTGTAAAGGTCTGCGCCGCAACTTGCTGGAAATGTGAAGCACAAAATAAAATGTGTTTGTATATGTTTCTATATATTTATATAAAAAAACACACGTGCATAAAAAACCGAAATAAAATTGGGCCCATATTCCGTGAAGTGTGATCCACCATCGGTGGAGGGTTCCCCCCCCCCCCCCAATAAACAAAGAAAAACTGGTGCGAGGGGAAAGTGTTTACAGGCGTCACAAATACCACGAGCACGAATAAATAACACGTTTACTATCGCCGAGACACGAGTGTGAGTGACCGCACAGAAGAGGCGAGGGGGGGGGGCTGGATTTGTCTTTCACAGAAGAGCGAGCGCGGATGGGAGGATTCACCGGACACCCACCCCAGCGCAGGCCGCTGTCGTCTTCACGCTCGGCGAGCGAGCGGGACGACCGCAACCTCGCACAGCGCTGGGGGGAAACTGCATTCGGTCCCCACGATTTCACTGGAATCGTCGGCGATGGAAACGAAGGTGGGACAATCTTCCTTTCTTGGTCATGCAAAAGTGGAATTTGGAAGTGCAGAGTTGGTCCCAACAAAAGTCAAGTTTTACATTGTAATAATAATTTTTCGTTGTTAAATTTTAGCTTCTTCATTTACGACTGTTACTTTATACTTCTAACGGAGGCTTGGGGCGTTCAAACTCCCCACACGTTTGCTGCCTCTTGTTCTTGATCGAGACGGCGATTACCTCGGAGGCCCCCCGTGACCCCCCCCCCCCCGCTCCACCTCGGACCGCAGGCTCACAAAAAACAAGATGGCGGACTCGCTCACGCCAAGTGCTGCCCCCCCCCCCTCCATCTCCGCCGCTTCGTAGCCACGCGGCAACGCGCAAGCCCCAGCGCGCTGCGATGGGGCCGCACCAAGCAAGCACGCGGGGGGGCGGAGGGGACGGATGCCTTCCCGAGACGGCTGCGAGCAACACAGTAGGGGACGTGGTGGCGTCGTTCCAATCTTCTCGGCTCACGCTTCCCACCGTCGGGCCCGGGGAGCACCCCCTGGCCACCCCCCCCCCTGCGCCGAGGGGGGCTCGGCGGCGCCACCACCGCTAGACGTGGCTCGCGGCCAGAGCGGCGCCGTTCTCGGCCGACGGCGGGAGTGTGCGCGGCCACCCCTCGGCGGACTTGGGCAGCCCCAGGCGGCCGCCTTCTTCCTCCGACAGCGACAGCATCATGGCATACGTCTGTGACAAGCACAAAGATCCCCCCGTGGAGCCTTTAACGGACCGTTGAACCGAGCGACGTGAGCGAGTAACATCGATGAATGCCGGCACGGAACACAAGGTGGCCAGCACCACGCCCGCCTTTATCTCTCCAGGTCTAAAGTTTACACACCGCACCTCCGATTGTGGATGGCTAGGTATGGTGCGAAAGAAGCTCAACATACGTATATAACTTACGGCTGAGTTGACCTAGGGGAGGCTCACCGTTATTGGTCGTGAGCGGGAATCGAACCTCAGGACACCGGGTTTGTAATGAAGTGCGCTAACCACTACACTACTGTTCCCCACTCCTCTACATCACAAAAAGGCAGCAAGAGCTTCCTGTTACCTGAGTCTTGTTCTGCCGGAAAGGAGAGGGCTGCGAGTCGGGCTCGGGGGTCAGCGGGTTGGGGTTAAAGGTCAGAGCGGATCCGCTGGGAGGTCGGAGTTCACCGGCCGGCCGGAAGGACAGGCCGTCGGTGAAGCGGGCGATTTGCTCCAGGGCCGAGAGCGGCTTCTCGTGCAGCGGGCTCGGGCTGCACCTGCACGGTCGGGGGGCGAGAAGCAAGCGGTGATCACCGGCGTCACTTCTCACACGCGCCGACTCCCCCACCGGGGGTCATGGAGCGTCGATGTGTGCACCCGCTCCGAAAGCGGGGCCCTGGGTGGGATCAAGATCCCGCTCCCCCACCCCCAGCACCCCACATTTGGCGATTCAAGTAAAGGTGGAAAGGAAACGACAGGATGTGGAAGACAGGAAGCCATGGGGTAGGTGCGGCGATTTAAAGATCTCAAAGGGGAAGCGTCGATGCCGAACGGAGCGGCGACACCAGCGAGTGAGAGATAACCGTGGCAGCAGTTCGTTCAGCGCCATCATCGCCAATGAGCTAACGGAAGGGACAGTCGAAAGGGACACGGGGCGTTACAGGCAGCAGAGGGCAATGCAGCAAAATGCATTGTTGTCCTGTACGTCCACGCTCTCCGCCTTCACCAACCCCGCACTGATCAGAGTGGGGCGAGGTGCAGTCTAATAGCCGTGCACCATTCCCTGCGCTACATGGGGAAGCCTCCTCATCCAGCAGTGGACTGAGAAAAGAGTTGCACACGTGCACACACGTGCAACGTGAACGCATTTAATTCGCACACGATTAGAAACGTGTGCAAGGAAGGGGGTAATAAATCCATAGCTGGGGACGCAGCTACCGTGTCCACAAGAGTGAGACAGGACGAATGGCGAAGTGATTGCCAATGCACGACAGTGGACAGACGGGTCCACGTGAATACTCTAAACCGGCTAATCCGGCCTACTGCTGGCGACCGCGTGTAGCGAATATAGGGCCGAGCGTGCCGTCAGGGAACAACGTTCAGTGCACATCGTGCAATCGGGGCCACGATCAACACGTTGTGTCACGTTGTGTAGAGCGGAGCACATTCACACATATTATATGCCCAGTATATAAAAAAAAATGTTGAATTGAATCGTCGACAATAATTGTATCATATTGTAACAAAATGAAAAAAAAGATTTTCAACGTTCGTGGCAGCAAGTTTTGGCACGCCGGCCCTTTGTTCAAGGGAAGTCCCCAGCCGGCTGCCCAGAAAATATTTCCCCACCCGGCACACCGCATCCATTGTTCCTCTCTCGCCATGGCTGCGGCTACTCGTCACCGCGGTGCCCCCTACTCCCCCCAAAAGTAACCCAGAAACTCATTCGGTGAGAAACGCGATCTCCGGTCAGGCGATCATCGAACCTCAGCAGCGACTCCGGGCTCGACGAAATGGAGAGCGGCCGCCCGTCTTCCCGGCCTGCGTCCTTGCCACCGCCGTCGTCGCCGCCGTCGTCGTGGTGACGAGGGGACCGCGACCCCCGACCCTCGGCCTGCTCCTCGTCCTGCCGGACCGCCGCCGTGTTCTTCTTCCTCGCGCCGTCGCGCTCGCTCCCTCCACCCCTCTCGCCCCTCGTGCGCTCTCGCTCTCTCTCGGCTTTGGACAGAGCCTCGGCCTCCTTCTGGCCATGCCCCGGCACGGCCGCTTGCTTTGCGCTGGCGAAGAAGAGGAGGAGGGAGCAAAAGGAGGGGAAAGGTTGATCGTTACGGAAGGAAGCTCTCAGCAAGCCGCACGTGGACATTTGAGTTTTCGTTTGAAGGTTACGGGAAGAAACTAGGCTTCTTCGAATCAACGTGCGCTCATCTAAGTCAAGTTACTTTTTTTGACAAAGCACACCTCCGATTAGCGCGTTTGGCTATGTATGGTGCGAAAGAAGTTCAACACATATACACAGCAGTCTATTTCTTGCCGGTAAATATTAGAGCTCCCTCTAGTGGAGGCCTTTCTACCCGCAGTGAATAAGCAATTGCAAGGTTGCTCCCAAGTACTGAAATGAAGCTAAATGTTCGTTACCTGTTACATTTCCATCGCCCAATAATAGCGTAACGGATACTTCCACGTATTCATATTCTGAATAATGTCAGAAATAAGCCAGATTTTTCTTTTACATTCAACCATGCATGTAAACTCGTGCACCATTAGGGGGAATATAAGTGACAAAATAATTTGGCCGACAAACAATATATGCATCTTTCCCACAGCTGTCTCTCCACATAAAAAAACTACGAGATGTGTAGCAAAAAAACCAACAACCTTTTATTCGCGTTTCATGTGGAGGGGCAGCTTTGGTTGGCTACGTACGGTGCGAAACAAGTTCAACATCGTACATCCATTACAAGGGTGCGTATTGCTGTAGTCATTGCACACTCGGGCAATTTGCTTCGCCACGTGACGACCACGTGACGAAGGGAGATGCACTGCCATCTGGCGGCTTTGCTTCACCACGTGACGACCACAGGAAGAAGGGAGATGCACTGCCATCTGGCGGCCACTTCAAACGCTGCAACAAGTCACAGACCGCGATCACGTGGCTTTGCTCGACTCGCTTATCCCAGAAGTAGATACAAGTTCCCGTAGCAGAATACCCGACACGGTTTAGAAGTAAAATTAGAACAATGCGCATTGGACGTAATGTTCGATCGAGGACTCTGAGGCGAAGGAGCGGGGAACTATCTCCATACTAAGGGCCAATAAAGCCGCGGGCCGTGTGGTTCCCCCAACGTACGATGGCGAGATGTTAACTCCTTCGCCTGGTATGCAGTTGGTCGTGGGTTCGATCCTGACGACTGCGTATATGGAGTATGCATTGTTTCTCTTTCCATGTTTTTTTCCAGGTCCTCCGGTTTTTCCCTCCACATTTAGGAACAACGTGTGTTTAGAGTATTTGGCTGCTATAAATTTCCACATGACAACAAGCCACTTCGTTGAGCTGTCATTTGTGATGGCCAGGTCACTCCTGAAAAAAGAGCTACACAGCTCAGTGGGCCTAAACTGGTCAAAAAAGTAGTTTAACAGTTTATACCCCTGTGTTTGGAACATTAAACGCGTGGCACTCACAGGAGCTGGGAGCCCGGAAGGTGTGCCTGCCCTTCGCTCAGGAAGTTCTGGATCTGGGAGAAGAACGAGTCGTCCCGCTCCTCCAGGATGGAGCCGACCTCTCGGTCCGAGCTCGGAGAAGATCCGGCCGTGCCTGCAGCAGAGGCGACCCGATTAGACACGACCACGACGAGAATAGAATTCGCGTAATCGGCATTCATTCTGGACGTTAGGAGGCTTACTGCATGCTGATACGGTCAACTTGCAACCGACAAGACAGACGTGGCACGCTCACCTCTCACCTCTCACGCACGCACCTGATGCACCCACTACTAGACTTACACACGAACCCTTATGCACACTTGATATAAGACAAAGACACCGATCGCCCTATAGCCTTAACAGACTTTTGGGACAAGTGCTGTTAGCGACTAGCAAACAACACCCACCATTTGTCACTAAGTAGCGATGACATCACCACGGCGCCTGTAACAGGCCAGATGCATTTTGAGGCCACGTGAAGTGTTGAAGGCTCGCTGACAGGAGGAGGTCACGGGACAGACCCAGGTGCCATGCGTTGATCGACTGAGATGACTGGCAGACGCACCAGCTGTGCCCCCTATTGTGACAACTGGCTGCATTTTATCTGCCCGGAGCTCCGCTCGTCATTGTCAGGGCGACTGTCTCCAACCGACCAGTAGCGCGCCCTTCACGAGCCTCGGGGTACACACACACGCAGAGAAGCGCACGCGCACACACGCTCTCTCACCTGACACGCTGTCGGTGTCGTGTTTCTTGAGGTGGCGGTCCAGGTTCGTCTGCTGCCCGAAGCAGCGGCTGCACAGGGGGCAGCGGAAGGGCTTCTCCTTGTTGTGGATGTTGCGCACGTGCCGCTGCAGGTTGGACGAGATGCTGAACGAGCGGTCGCAGTACTTGCACCTGCCGGCGTAGACACGGGGGTCGGGGGTTCGACACGCGGGGGGGGGGGGGGTCAGGGTCGTTGTTTGAGGGAGGGCGATGGATAGTGGAGCGAAACGTCGGGCGTCATTGCGAGCAACGCGCCGGGGAGCCGTGCACGGGGCCAAACGCGGCATTGCTCTGCGACTACCTCGGAGTGCCAGTCAACTTCGTAGGATTGTTGGTGTGGATGTGGCGAGGGTTGGGGGGGGGGGTTACTGTTAGCGTCGTTGGGTTTCGTGTTCGAGGTAAGGTTAAGGTCAAGGTCAGAGTTGGATCGTGTGCCGCATTATGATAGGGCGAAGGTTAGAAAGTTACGATTCGTGTTGGGTTTAGGGTTAAGCTCGGTGTTGCATTTTGAGTTCGTGCAAGGCTTAGTTTTTTAGGAAGGAGGTGAGTGATGACAGTTTATAAAAGTTTTTTTGTTTAATTCCATGTATTAATATTTAAATATATAAATGTATATTTTATTCTTAAGTCATCTTGCCACCACCCCCCCCCCCCATGTGAAAAATAAACGAGCCATGAATTAAGCTTATTTCCCAAGGCGTCGCGATTCCAAGTTAAGACGCACGGTTAAATTATTAATATTACTTCTAAAAACGTTGAGCAGCGTACGAAATTAATGGCATTTTCTTTCTTTTCCTGTACGACACGACTCAAAAGGAGTGGAATACTTAACAAAACAAATGTTATACATAATATAAAAAGTATATATTAATTAAAAAAACCTCCACGTTGAAATTTAATTCAGGTGACCAATGGGGAAATTGAAAGTAAAATAATAAAACGAATGAGGGCCTCTGTTAGCCCCCGTAATAAATCAGCTCCATAACCCTGCACCAGCAGAGGCATCAATCAGCTGTGTCAGTAGCTGGGGGCAGCAGGGGGGCGGGGCGGTGTGTGGGGGGCGGTCTCGCGGGGGTGCGATATTTGAGTCTCCCCGTGCACCAAGACACGGTGCCCGGTTACACAAGGAAAATTAATCAGCGTCGTTAAGTCGACGAAGCTTTTTCCTTTTCAACAACAAAATCATACATATATAAACGTCCCCCCCCCTCCTTCACGCTCACTCCCCCCACCCCTCCCTCTTAATTCTGTTTCAACTCTAACATTGGACGCAAGTCAGGAGACACGAGGTGTCTACTTTTGAACTCCTATCGTGTTTTTTGTATTGTTGTTGTAACGTTCTGACCCGCCACCACTGAACGTCTGTGAAAAAGAAGAGCGTTCCAGCTCATCGGATTTCTCCAACAAATTAATACATATTCAGATTCTGATTTGGGAGCGTGGCTGGGCGGTGTCCCACCGTCAGCCAACGTTGTCTCAACGTCGTATTGTTTCCTGGGAAATTGGGAAGTCAATGGTGATTGTCCTACTGAGAGACAGTCTCCTGCCATGTAAACAGGAGGTGAGTGCCAATGTCTCGATGTTCATTTCATCCTCTCTAGCCAGTTCATTTGCGCAGTGAAATCGCTTTGGTTTCTTGACAGTGTGCACACGCGGGCACCGCTGTGTGCACACGGGCACCGCTGTGCGCACGCGGGCACCGCTGTGCGCACGCGGGCACTGCTGTGCGCACGCGGGCACCGCTGTGCGCACGCGGGCACTGCTGTGCGCACGCGGGCACTGCTGTGCGCACGCGGGCACCGCTGTGCGCACGCGGGCACCGCTGTGTGCACACGGGCACCGCTGTGCGCACGCGGGCACTGCTGTGCGCACGCGGGCACCGCTGTGCGCACGCGGGCACTGCTGTGCGCACGCGGGCACCGCTCTGCACACGCGGCTCGAGACAAACACAGCAACGCTCGAAGCACGAAGCGGCGCTGATCTCAAAGCACAACATCTGTGAGTGCGTAGCAACGCGGACGCTCAACATGTGGCACATAAAAATTACACACACGTGTGCACGCACGCACGCGCGCGAAAATGCGCCGCAAACAAACATCGAAACTGCGCTATTAATTTTTTTTTGCTGGAGCCCGAATTTATTTTAAAAGGGAGATGAAGTTAAAAGGAGCGAGCGGGGGGGGGCTGTGCCACGCCTGCGCCACGCAGCAGCAGCAGCAGCCGCAACAGCAGCAGCGTCTGACTTTTTTTTTTTGCGCGGAGATGCCAGGGATGGCGATGTCTGCGACGATAGCGCGCGGGACAAAAGGGCCCGCTGTGTTTGCGTGGCCAAGTTCGCCGCGAGACGGCTGAACCACGGGGACGCCCACCACCTCGCTCGCCAACTCGACTGCGAGCCGAGCCGAGCCAGCGAGCAGAGCCAGCCAGCCGGACAATTTGTTCAAAGCAACTTTGCGTTACTTCAAAGCGGGCTTTCGCCCCAGCAAGCGTGCACGCAATTACGATGATGAGCGATAACGCCCCGCCGTGGCTGGAATCGACGTGCGTGCGAGTCGGGCGCGTGTCCGTGTCCGCAGGTCGTCGTGCCCGCTTGTTGCGTGTGCACGCTTGTTGCGTGTGCCCGCTTGTTGCGTGTGCCCGCTTGTTGCGTGTACACGCTTGTTGCGTGTGCCCGCTTGTTGCGTGTACACGCTTGTTGCGTGTGCACGCTTGTTGCGTGTACACGCTTGTTGTGTGTACACGCATGCTCTGCACGTGAACCGGGCGCCGCTGGAATGGTCAACATCCGCCGCTCGAGCACCGCGAGGTCGCTCATTCTTCCTCGACCTTGCTGCCCCCTTTAAATCTGGGGGATTCATCCCGCCCCCCCCCCCCCCACATGATTGGCTTCCTGTTCCCCTGACTCTTGCTCTTGTCCAGGTTCAAGATTTTCCTCCTCTTCTCTGGCGATGACCAACTGGCTAGAGAGTGTTGAGTTCTACGTCTGTGCTACAGAGTGGATGTGGAGCTCTAACGAGGGTCTAGGCTGCAGAGTGGTCAGGATTGTGCATTCGTGAAAAAATTACCGTTCCATTTGCCTCTGCAAATGCGTCACATGCTTTGACCAGGTGGTGTGTGTCAATGCGTGGTGAGTGGTAGCGTAGTGGTTAGCGCACTGTGCTACCAACCCTACCAACGGAGTTTAATTCCCACGCACGACCAATATCTGAACTGGTTATGGGGCTTCCCCAGGTCGATTCAGCCTTAAATGAGTACCTGATGTAGTGTAAACATCTGCACCGGAGAGGCAAAAGTGGCCAGGTGTGGTGCTGGTCACCGACCCCCACGTGAGCTGTCCCGGCCTTCATAGGTGGTCACTAACAGCACTTGTCTCAACAGTCTGTGGAAAGGCTACAAGGGGGGGGGGGATCTCTGTCTGTGTGCTTACGTGTCTAAGAGAGCGAGCCCAGTTGTGCCCTGGCGGCGTGTTAGTAAACTATTCACAATGGTGGTGGCCACGCTGCTGCTGCTGCACACGACGGTCAGTGGGTTGGTGGATCACCGCACAGATGTCGCGAATCTCCCTCCCCCATGGGCACGGAGCAGGAGCCGTACCCTGGCTCAACAGGAGAAGGCGGTGCAGCAAGCGTGGACTAATCGCCGTCTGTTTCCATCTGTACGGGGATAGAGTGTTGCTGCCTCGCACCCGTGGGTTTTCTCCGGGTGCTCCGGTTTAGTTCCGCGCGTGTAATAATAATAATGATAAACACTCATCGTTAACTGGCAGAAACATCTAAAAATAAATTGCCCTAAGACTCGGCGTGGCTTTCCTGGATAAATAAATGCGTTATTATATTCTCCATATCATGCACGCACGCGCTCCCATTTACGGACGAACGGCACAAAGCCCACGCCTGCGCTCAGCCCAAGGAACGAACTCCCAGGCTCCCATCTCCCCCCCCACCTCTCTCACGCGCGCAAGCAAAAAAAGCAGCAACGGACGCGCGCGCGCGCACCCACGCACACACACGCATATATATATTTTTAAAACCTCCATCTAAATTACAGGCTCAGCATTCAGAGCGTAATCAGTCGCCCATTAGCCGCAGCAAAGAGGAGACAAGCGTAACAATTCGTCACCCATGCAGAGGTCAGAACCGCCAATTTCGATACTTCCTGTGCATGTGCTTTCTGCCGCGCCAGCCAGACAATGCCGCGCTCTATGCGCTAAAACTCACGACGCCCGCGCCGGGATTTTCGTCGGCAGAAAAGCGCCGCCGCCGCGGCCGCGGCCGCCGCCGCCGCCGCGGTTATTTTGTCAGCTGAGATCCATCGCGGCCCCCACGAGCGGCCGGGGGAGTTTACAGCGACGAGAGCCGCAACGCGTCCACGTGCGTTTGTTCGCTCGCGACCCGTCGGTTTAAAAAATAAAAATCCTAATTCGTGTTTCGCCAATACCTTGCTTTCGTTTCGTTCACGAGTCTATGCCGTGGAACGCCGTCGCCGTGGCGGGGACGTCGGCCGTTCTCACGACGGCTCGAGCGCGACATCGCTGGGGCGCTCGTTTGCCGTCGCCATTCTCGCCCATCTTCTCTTCTCTCCCCCAAGTTCTCATAACCACGTGACCGATTCGAGGCAGCGAAGTGACGCTCGTCTGTTTACAACTTCATCAGTGCTGTTTGTTGTTGGCCGCTTGGCGGATTTTTGTACGCCTCTGGGCTCATAATTTAATAATAATAAAAACTATCTTTCGAGCTGTTTAACGTTTTACTTTCATTTTTAGCATTGTAGAATCTCTTCGGTGTAGAGATATTTGCTTTTGAGATATATGACCGTGCATTATAATTCCTTGCGCTAGAACCGAAGTTGTCATTAACCTGAAGGATAATTGCTGTTGCAACTTTTTATTTTTACCCAAATCTTCCTCACAAAAAGGAACCTATCTGCTCTCAGCTGGCTCTTCATCGTCATTGTGCACGAAAGGCACAAGTGCGAAGATCACAAAGTCAAAAAGGAGTAATGGTAGGATTCAATGACAGTTTAACACGTAGGCTTTCACGACCATGAATGAGTTCAATGATGACGTCACCCTGCTGCTCTATTTAAGACCGGGAGCAAGCGAGGGCTTTACCATTCTGGCGAATTGCCCGATGATGCTGGATGTAATTATCAGCGAAACGTTGTACTCAAACTGTAAATGTTGTGGATTCACTCTTCAACACACCGGTGGGCTAAAGTAGTGAACTATTTTGTCTTTTGTCAACGTGACACGTTTTTGCTGATTGGCCGTGTCGGGTGGTGGAGGGTTACGACACATTTATAAATAACGCGATCTAACCCAAAAACCTTTATTATGAAGGATTCAATAATATCTGGAGAAGCAAGCAAATCAGCTACAGGACCAAAACCGAACATCATAATAACATGCATGTTCAGTACGGCTTTGTATGCCTGCGAGACTTGGACGTTGAAATAAGACTGACAGAGATTAGATTGTTGGCACTGGAAATGCATTGCTACTTAAGGATACTGCATCTAAACTGGACCCAAAGAGTGACCAAGGTGGCATTAAGAAAAAAAGACCTGGCGATGCAGGCGAGGCTCTTAACCAGTCGAGCAAATTCACTGTTCGAGTCGCACAATGAGCAGCAGACGTCGGCGTGGACGAGCCGGACAAATTTATCTTCTGTGGGCGTTGGGCCGGGGGGCTCTCGAGAGCCCCTTCTCGTGGAGGCCCTTCCGGCAGCAGGGGGCGTGAGCGGAGAAACACTGCAAGGCCTTTACCTTTTACCTGTTGCGAGCGGAGTGTGAATTGAACGTGAAGGCGTGCGCGTGCGCTCTCTCTCTCTCTCTACGACGGCGGCGTCAGCCGTGAAAGCCTCAAAGGAAATGAGCGGCTCGGCACGTTCCAATTTTCTGCGGCTACGGCCGCGATGAATGGAGGGTCTTGGACTCGCGCACACATTTTTTTTTGTTCAACGTTCCACTTTTTCTTTTTTCCCTCCCTTCCCACCACCCTCCCGCTCTGGCAGTGATTATCAAAAGCACATTTTGTCCAGCCACGGTGTCGGGTTTAGAGACCTCGATCAGCGTGGGTGAAACCAGCCCAGGGTCCGGCGTGTTTGCGCAAACGTCGTCGTTAAAAAATAAAAAAAAATCGGTCTAGAACGAGTGGGTGGGTGGGGGGGGTCAGAAACCTGTGGATCTGGAGCCGCGTGTGACTCTTTTTAAGGGCTGCTTCCTGACCGTTATTTATTAAGGGCCACCGCCGTCTCGTATTCACCGCATTTGCGTTGCGGCTCTTAAAATATTGAGGTTTTAGTTCACCGAATTCGGGAAAAAAATGGCTCTTCTTGAAATTTTGGTTCGCCGGCCCCCTGGGCTAGAGGGTCCATCGGCCAATCGATTCGAATTTAGTTTTCAAGAGGAGACGGACTCTTACTGATAATTACATACATCCAATTGTCACCCGCTGTGCTGTTCCAAAACGCCAGGTTCATGAAGCAAACAGACTCGACTGGGTTTCACAGCGAACCGTCCCCCGTTGCCGAGATGCGCATCTCCTCCATGCTGCGATACCGGCACTGACCTGTATGGCTGCTCGCCCGTGTGCGTCCGTAAGTGACGCGTCAGGTTCGCCGATCTCGGGAAGATTTTTCCGCAGTATCTGTAAAACGGGAATCACCGCCGGAAATAATTATTGGAGGGCGCAAATAGTTTAGCAGCAACTCGAACACACACAGAGCGAAATTAATGTTCACAAGTAACAAAGAAATTAGATTCTGTTTTACGAATTACAAAATCTACTTCTGTTGGTCTTTTCACGTGGAAATATTTTCTAATAATGAGCCAAGAATGTTTGTGTGTCCCACGCGTGACGTCACTCCACGTCGACCAGCCCCCCTCATTAATAATCATGAGCGGATGACGTCACTCCGCATGGAGAACCCCCCTCATTAATAATCATGAGCAGGTGATGTCACTCCACATCAAACAGCCCCCTTCATTAATAATCATGAACAGGTGACGTCCTCCAAATGGACACCCCCCCGCCATTAATAATTAGCGGCTGACGTCACTCCGCATGGGGGGGGGCGAGGCGCCTCCTCCCCCCTCCTCAGCGTCAACTGACAACCCTCACTACAAAGGCAGAACCCTCACGTCACGTGATCTCCGTAACGCTGTTGAGACATCAAAGTAAAAAGGACGTCGTGATGAACAAGGGATTATAACCTTTAAATGAAATAGGTCTGTGTCACTGCGGCCTTACAAATTGCACACTAATTGATGCAATGAATATCACGTTGTGGTCTGCTTTTCACTTGCAAGTTTCACATTTACTGCAATACACCAGTCCTTGGATGGGCAGAAGGCGAGTAATATATGTTCTCGTCCATCAGCCAATAGGCATTGCAGACCAATATTATTCAGAATCATTTTATGTAAGCAAGTAGACTCTGGTTGGACTGGTTTCGACCTTCCGGGTCTCATCAGCGGTGCCAGGCTTGTTATACAACTGTCGTTGGATTGCAAGCTGTCATTGGCAAGAGCACTCTCATCTGACGAGAGCGTCCTCCCATTTGGTCGATCTGCTCTGAAGTCTGCGACTCTCTCATCCGCAATGAATATGAAATAACAGGCGTATTACTAACATAGAGATGTAACAAATCGATCGAATCGAGTGGCCGTGCCCAACGATAGCGCCGCCTTCGATGCCGCCGGATGCCTCCGTGCGAGCCGGCTCACCGGCACGAGTAGCGCTCCTTGCCCTTGCGCAGCATGGCGTCGGTGAGGACGGACGAGGGCGTGCGGAAGTCGAAGGGCGGCGCGTGGTGGTGGTGGTGGTGATGGTGGTGGTGCGGCACGGCGGGCCGCAGGCTCTGGGCGGCCGCCGCCGACTCGAGGGAGAGGCTGCCGAGCCGCTCCAGCTTCTCCGCCACCTTGTGCATCCCGCCGCCCATCGGCCCTGGCAGCACCGACGACGTGCCCAGGCTCTGCTGCTCATCCCCCGCGTACAGAGACAAAGATCCCCACCCCGTGTAGCCTCGACAAAGATCCCCATCCCGCGTAGCCTGAATAGATTTTTTCGGGGCTGTGAGCGATGAAGGCTGGCACCAGCTACTCATTTAAGGCCGAGCCAACTGCCGCCGCTCGCAACGCACGCACGCAGGGTGCACGCACATGCACGCAGGGTGCACGCACATGCACGCAGGGTGCACGCACATGCACGCAGGGTGCACGCACATGCACGCAGGGTGCACGCACATGCACGCAGGGTGCACGCACATGCACGCAGGGTGCACGCACATGCACGCAGGGTGCACGCACATGCACGCAGGGTGCACGCACATGCACGCAGGGTGCACGCACATGCACGCAGGGTGCACGCACATGCACGCAGGGTGCACGCACATGCACGCAGGGTGCACGCACATGCACGCAGGGTGCACGCACATGCACGCAGGGTGCACGCACATGCACGTATAAATACACATGCAGACGCACACACAGACGCGTACACAAACATGCAGACATGCGCACGTAGAAACAGCCATATTGGAAAATAATATATTCATCCAAGCAAAAGTAAAATGATGTTAATCAGCAGGGATTGGTGAGTTAAATGAAGATAATGTATTTTTTAAAATGTCTGTAGTGGTCTAATCACTGTTATTATAACTGTATATCTCACGTTACCTATGATGTTTAATGAAAAGACTTACCCAGAATCTCTGTACGAAGAAGCAGGAGACAAAAGGTAAACACGCAAAACATTCGTGTCAATTGTAACAATGGATAGTATTCCGAGGTGTGGTTTCCCTGCACCACACGAACGGTGTTGGCAGATGACAAGTGCTCCCACGAGGCCTTTGGAAGGATTTACAAAGGCTGGGCTTGGCCAAAACAAGTGCTGCTTATTAAAAAAAGATTTGAGTAAGTGAAAAGATTGAACATAAAAAAAATGTATATATATACTAACTTGATGTATTCCAACTCAAGAGCAGTGCATTTAATAACTCAACCCTCTTTTTGTAAATGTATAATTAATTTTATAAATATATAATTGGATTCAGGATGCAGTGGATATAAAAAAAATAAGTGAATGTCTGCAAGAGCAATTTTTTTCTGATTTCTAACATTGGCAGTTATTATTTAATGAGTAGTTACACACATGGGAGTAAACTAGCGCACCCGGAGAAAACCCGCCCAATGATATCTCCATACAGATGGAAACATCTTCATATATAGAGGGACTGCAGAGCTCGCATAATTGTTGGAAGCGTCAGTTCTCCACCTTGCTGCTGCCTTCCAGCTTGGTGCGTGGTTTCCTCAGCAATTGTGAGATGCGATGCGCACGAAGCATGTCGCTGTATAAAACTCAACATTATGAAACCAAACGAAGGAATGTGGATCCGCACACCGACGCCTCAACGCTCATGCGAGTAGGAAATCACTTTTACACTTTCCCAGAACTCAATTCTTATTGACATTGTCATATCGTGCATGGCAGGCAGCTGGTCACATGACCACAGTGATGAAACTATTTATTGTGCCAGATTGAAGGGTTTGGGGTCGGAAATAGCCCCCCCCCTCCTCCTCCCCACCTTTCAGGTGACAATAATTACGATTGATAATTTAACAGAGAAATTTATAAAAAGTCTAGTTTTTTAAACAATACAGGAATTTTACTGTACATCGAAAATGAAAAAAAATGTGGGACCACTCCCCCTCTGGTGTCGATTGACAAAGACAAAGATCCTCCATATAACCTTAACAGGCTGTTGGGGCAAGTGCTGTTAGCGTGCACCTATGAAGGCCGGCATGGCACACGAGGCGGTAGGTGGCCAGCACCAGTGACGATGTTTACACGCCACACTGGTTACTCATTTAAGGCTGAGTCGACCCAGGTGAGGCCCAGGACAGGTTCAGATCTTCGTTACCGGTGTTGGCCGTGAGCGGGAATCGAACATGGGCCGGCCGGGTTCATAGCGCAACGTGATAACCGCTTCCCCGTACACACAAAGATAAAGATCTCCCGTATAGCCTTAACAGACTGCAGGGGCAAGTGCTGTTAACGAGCACGCGTACACACACACACGCGCACCCACACAGCACAACATGTTCTCACGCACTGAAATGGCCGGCAGCTCACCTGTGGATGAAGCAGCAGGTTGGGTGACGGTCGAAGGTACTTCTCCTTGAGTGACTCCATCGGTTCCATCTGCCTTCTCTTCTCTACCCTACTTTGGGGCACAATGACAAAGCATCAATTAGCTGGGTCATAGCACTGAACCCCCCGTCGTGTGAGAGCGTGCGGAGCGATTCCCTGCCTTCACGCTGGATGTCTGTGAACAAGAGAATCATAGCTCATCGGATTCCTCCAGTGGAAATAATGATTCTGATACGATTTAAAGTAATAATAACGATGAGCGATGCTGCGGAGAAGACAAATAACATGAATTCCTGCGCCTCCGATTAGAACGGTTGACTACGTACGGTGTGAAAGAAGTTCAGCATACATAGATGCAACATATCGATATGCAGATGTTAGGTCTCTTTCGTACAAACGTCTCCACGTGAAACATAACAGTTGGGGTGCGTACGAAATACTTTAATAATTTTAATGTGGAGAGAGACGCATTGTCTGGTTATTTCATTTAAACAGGGCCCATCACACCAACATACAATAATGTATTTTTTGCATGGAAGCCCAAAACTATTAAGATAGCTAGTACAAGATATTGAGTTTAAAATATCAACAAAGCAATGTACCCCCCCCCCCCTCCTTAGGAGTGTGTTTGTTCTCTACAGACAGACACACACACGGGGAAACAAGAGGACAAACAGACAGACACACACACACGGGGAAACAAGAGGACAGACAGACACACACACACACACGGGGAAACAAGAGGACAGACACACACAGACACACACACACACACAGACACACACACACAGACACACACACACAGACAGACACACAGACACACACACACACAGACACACACACACACAGACACACACACAGACACACACACACACAGACACACACGGGTAAACAAGAGGACAAACAGACACACACACACACACACGGGGAAACAAGAGGACAGACACACACAGACACACACACACACACAGACACACACACACACAGACAGACACACAGACAGACACACAGACACACACACACACACACAGACACACACACACACAGACACACACAGACACACACACACAGACACACACACAGACACACACACACAGACAGACACACAGACAGACACACAGACACACACACACACACAGACACACACACACACAGACACACACACACACACAGACACACACACACACAGACACACACAGACACACACACAGACACACACAGACACACACACACACAGACACACACACATACAGACACACACACACACAGACACACACACACACAGACACACACACACACACAGACATACACACACACAGACACACACACACACACAGACATACACACACAGACACACACACACAGACACACACAGACACACACACACAGACACACACACAGACACACACAGACACACACACAGACACACACACAGACACACACACACACACCCCCACGCACTCGGGCAGGGAGAGCGCAGCTGGGTCCCCATTGGCTACTTCTGTCAGGATCCGCGGCAAGACCCCCGCTCGGTTGGCCGGCGTTCGCTTCCGGCGCCGACGGGCGCCCCTCGCCGCCTCTGGCCAGTGGCTTCAAGCTCACCTGTAGATGGGGTCCATGAAGAAGGGCGACGGTTTGGCGTACTGCAGGAAGGGGTGCTGCGCCAGCGCGGGGGCCGGCGCGGGCACGCCCCGCTCTCCGAACACGTGGTTCCTGTGCGGCTCGGGCCGCCGCTGCCCGTTGCTGACGCCGCCGCCGCCGCCGCCGCGGTTGCGCCCGGTCACGCTCAGGTCCAGCGGCTGCTCGTCGGCCCCCCGCCGCGAGGGGGGGCGGCCGTGCGGCGAGATCGGGGCGCCGCCGCGGTCGCGGCCGCCGCCGCCGCCGCGGTCGGCCGCGTCGGCCTGCGGCGGCGCCCGCGCGCCGCCGCAGGCCGACGCGCGCCGCTTGCGCAGGTCGCAGGGAGAGTCGGCGGTGAACGCGGCCGATGCCGCCGCCGCCGCCGCCGACTCGGCCTTCATGGCGAGGGAGGAGCGTTCGAGCGCCACGGCGGCGTCGCCCAACGGGAACGCCGAGTTGGGGAACGCCGGGATGAACGGGAACGGGAAGACGGAAGGGTACGGCAGGTGCGCCATCTTCTTGTCGGAGAAGCCCACGAGGCTCGTGCCGAAGTACCTCTCGGCGATGGAGGCGATGGCCTTGATGGAGTCGTTGACCGAGCCGACGACCCCGGCGGAGGAGGATGACGAGGAGGTGGCGGAGCCCTGCTGGTTGGCCACCGACAACGGGAGCGCAAACGGCGGCTGCCGGGAGAAGAACGGCTTCTTGCCGGAGCTGCCGCCGAGGAGGCCGTTGCGAGGCGGGGTGGCCGGCACGGCCGCCTTGTCCGCCTCCATCTTGATGGCGTCCGCCCGCCGCTTCTTCCTCCGCTCCTCCTTCTCCGCGTCCGTGTCGCCCTCCGAGCCCGTCGTTGGCTCCAGGTCGCTGCCCACTGGCGAGCTCAGCCCGGCCTCTTCCTCCTCCTCTTCCTCCTCCTCCTCCTCATCCTCCTCCTCATCTTCCTCCTCCTCGTCCTCGTCTTCTTCCTCGCGATCCTCCTCCTCGTCCTCGTCCGCGTCGCCCTCCGTCATCTCGTCGCTCATCTCCGACAGCTCGCCCGTGGACGTGCGCCGCTGCGCGTCCCCGGCTCGCTTCTTCTCCCCCCCGTGAGCCGCGGGGCCGTGAGCCGTGGGGCGCGAAGGCGACGACGACGGCGACAATGGTGACCGCTGCGTCGGCGTCGCCGCCGCCGCCACCGCCGCCGCCGCAGCCGCCGCCGCAGCGCCGCGGCCCTCCTCGTCTCTGTGCGGCTGCTGCTGGCTCCGACTGCCCTCTCCGTACAGCCTCTTGAGCAGCAGCTCGGGCCTCGAGTACAAACTCGATGGAGACCCCGCCTGCTGCTGCTGCTGCTGCTGGTGCTGCTGCGGCAGCAGCGGAGGAAGCGGCGGTGGCGGGAAGAGCCCCGGAAAGTGCGCGGCCAACGGAAATCCGGATGCTGCTGGGAACGTGAGCCCCATGGCTGCATGGTGGTGCTGCTGCTGCTGCAGGTGGTGGTGGTGGTGGTGGCCGTCCTGCCGGAACAGCTCCGCGAAGGTCGTCGGCGGGCGATGGTGGTGGTGGTGGTGGCGGTGGTGGCCGTGGTGGTGGCCGTGGTTGGCGAGGGAAAACGGCACGAGCGAGCCCTTGTCCGGCACCGAGCCGGGAGGAGGCCCCAGGGGGTACATGGAGCCGGCGCCGCCGAACGCGAGGGCGGCGGCGGCCGCGGCGGCCGCGGCCGAGGCGGCGAAGTGGCCCTTGCCCTCGCAGAAGCGCCGGTGCTTGTTGAGCGACGAGGCCGTGGCGAAGAGCTGCCCGCAGTCCTTGCAGCGGATCTGCGTGCGGCAGTCGGCGTGCATGCGCTTGTGCCGGCACAGGTTGGAGAACTGCGTGTAGGACTTCTGGCACACGTCGCCTGCCGCCGGACAGACGCGGGGGGGGCGGGAGGCGGAGGGGAAAAGATAAGAAGAGGTAAAGGCGCAGCCCTGCAATCGCTAGCTCGTGCCAGCAGCTGGCGGAGGGGCCGCCCTGCTAGAGGAGGCTCTGGAGATGGCCCCCATAGACGGGAAATTTTCCCGGCTCGTCCACGCTGCTCGGACGTCTTACAGCTCATTTTGCGACTCGAACAGTGAATTTCCTCTCGGGAGGGTAGCTTGGCCTATTCTTCCACACTTGCTTGATGATTGTCCGCGGGAACTTTTTGTTGCCGGTATCAAATTGAGGGAGAAATCAAATAGGCTTCTTTATTGCCGGAGAAGTTAAAGCCTATTTCTTTTTTATCGTTTAGATAAACGTCTCGGAAGAGGTGGGGTTTACCCACACTTTACCCCACTACACGTGACTTGCCCAACGACGGATTGTGCTGTACCCGTGTATGCTGCCGGTGCACGGAGGCCGAGACATTTAAAGAGACTTGCTTAACGTTTCAACTGCCGAGCCGCGACGATGGCATCCAACTGATGCCTGCTGGATTGAAGGGGAGAGAGAGGGAGGGGGAGTCGTTTGAGGTCGAGGGCTTGGGGACACCGAGAGAACGGCGCAGCCAGCGGCGTAGCCATCGAGTGTGCAGGCGGTGCAACTGCGCTCAGGGGCCTGGGTGCCAGACTTCACAGTTCCATTTCCATTTTCCATTAATTTGGTATAGCCCTGTGAGCCATTTGGCTCTAAAATTGGGTGCAACCGCAACAAACAAAAAACAAAAACATGAACAAGAAAACATCTTAATGTGACTGTGCAAACAGAAAATCCAGGAAAAAAACATCAAAATATTCCTGAAATAACACCGTACACCAACGCTCTGTGCAAAAATCCCAGTGGGATGCAAGTCAAACAACAACAACAACCACAAGACAACTAAGATTAAGGCCATCAGTCTAACTCCGTACTACAACAAACAAAAACATGGCCAAACCAAAAAACTTTTCGAAATCACCAAAATAAAGCCATAAATGCAACGTAACAGTGATCATAGGGACTGTGACCGAATTTTTAACAATAAACTACATAAATAACATGTAACACCAAATTCTAGAGCCATAGCTGGCTGCATGAGTCACTCCACAACAACAGGAGCATCAGTCGGAGGGAATCCACGGTGACGAGATGTTAACAACTTCGCCTGGTATGCAGGAGGTCCGTGGGTTCGATCCCGATGCCTGCTGTATATGTGTAATTTATACAGCAGGCATCTCACTGTGGTCGCGTGGATTTTTCTCCAGGTCCTCCAGCTTTTCCCTGCACATTTAGAATTGAAATGCGTTTAGTGTATTTGGCTTCTATACATTTCCACGTGATAATCCACTTCGTTGAGCGATCATTCGTGTGGCCAGGTCGCTTCTAAGAAAAAGAGCTGTATAGCTCAGTGGGCCATACCTGGTAAAATAAAAATAGTTTTTAGTTTAGTTTTGGAAGAAGGCAGAGAGAGAGAGAGCCCTAGGTCAGGGGTCGGCAACCTGCAGCTCCGGTGCCACGTGCGGCTCTTTAAGGGCTGCTTCTTGACGCTATTTATTAAGGACCCCACCGTCTCCATATTCACATTGCATTGCGGCTCTTGAAATATTGAGTTTTTTGTCTTCTTTCCGAATTAGAAAATAAATGTCTCTCTTCTTGTTATTTGGGTTGCCGACCACCTGCCCTCGATCCATCGCACCAGGACCCATGCCAACGACGCCGTGGCACCGGGGGACACAGCAGGGTGGGCACGCCGCGCCACGTGCCGTGCTCTCTTTATAGACATCCTTCATGGGCCCCCAAGGCTGCTAGAATCCGGGCTCCCACCCGAAGGCTGCCTGCGACCAACTCAAATTTAAAACTGTCTCTTTGCCATGACAAGGCAGCCAGGTGACACCGAGGTTTCACAATGGCCGTGATCTGTCATTAAACCGGGCTGCTGTATGCCTTGAGTTTGAGGAGGCGTTTCTAGGCTTCAGTCCAATCGAAGTCTCAGCGACACCTTCATCACAACTCAAGCTGCCCCCCACTCCTAGAGGCGTCAACGCGACCTCCCAAATCACCACAGGACTGTGAGCTCCAGGTTCCACCTGTAACCACCTGCATGCCCCCTCGCACGGAAATGCTGCTTCATATAAATCATGGATGGATGCTGAAAGGAGTTCTGTTTTATTTTATTCCTCACACTAAACACGAAGGTGATACATTACTTGCCGATACTGCGATAGGACTGAACTCTGAAACGTCTATGAAGAATAAACATAAACTCTTTCGGTCTTTCGGTAAAGTCACGTAGATAGAAAAAATAATAGATCACGACGTTTCAAACGCAACAAAAGCAATCGTCTTTAGGTGAGTCGTGATCGATTATTTTTTCTATCTACGTGACTTCGCCGAAAGATCCAAAGAGTATGAATCCCTGCAGTCACGAAAGCTTTAAATCAATATACATGTATCTATGTGTTTCTGTCTCTCTGTCTCTCCTGCTCGATCTCCCTCTCTCTTGGTCTGTGTGTGTGTCTCTCTCTCTCTTTTGCTGTGTCTCTTTATCCCACTTTGTCTCTGTCGCTCAATGTCTCTCTGTCTCTCTCCATCTGTCTCCCCTATATCTCTCTACCACACCCTCTCTCTCTCTGTATCTCTCTCTATCTCCATCTCTCTCTCTCTCTCTCCATCTCTCGCTCTCTCTGCCTCTCTCTCCATCTCTCTCTCTGCCTCTCTCTCCATCTCCCTCTCTCTGCCTCTCTCTCCATCTCCCTCTCTCTGCCTCTCTCTCCATCTCTCTCTCTCTCTCTGCCTCTCCATCTCTCTCGATGCCTCTTTTCTTTAATTACGTCTTGGCGAAGCGCAGCCGTAATCATGCGGATGACGACGCGTGCTGCGCCGCTGGGGGAGATGCTGTCCGCACGGCGCGGGGCACGGCGATTGACGCGAGCCCTTCCTCTCCCGCTGACATATGTTGCTAATTTAGTGGCGGCTTTAATGAACTGCCATTCGGAGGAGTTTATGTTTAATTTTCTTGCCTTGCATAAACAAACAATTGCATCTGCAGGGCACCCCAGTGATAGCCAGATTTATTTTTTATTTTTTTAAAGCCTGTCACTCGTATTAAGTAAACGTGAAATTGTGGTGCTCCCAAGACAAACAGAATAATCGACGATGTTTGTTGCCGATTCATGAGAATCTCGTGTTTTGATTTCATCTGCACATGCTGTTTCAGCGTCTGGAGCTGTCTGAACGTCCGTGCGAATCTGATGAGAGCAGACGGAGAGTCGCAGCTGCGTTGTTACGATGCGTAGATGCCTCTTGATCCAGCGCTTTGGAGGCTGGGTTTGGTAGATCTCAAATCGTTGTGGCATCTGAACACCCATTGGGCTAAGTGAGGTGGCCAGGAGACAGCAGTACAAGCAAGCAGATCCTTGAATCCATCTGTGCGAGGCCTCGTGTGTTACCCGCCTCAAATGTTTGGTGGCCTCTCTCCGGGTTCACTAGTCCATGGGCCAGGGCAGAAATCGGTACCACCTAAGGCTGTACCAATTTCGTCGCACGGCTAATAAGAGTGAATTACTTGATTACACCACGGAACCCTGGATGGTTATCACATAAATCACTGTTATTGGCCACATTAAGATAGCAGAACTACGAGAGAGTAATGCCATCCCAGGTAGAGTAAAGTTGAGTGACGTATCTGGTCTGGGGCACATGGACTAAATGGCCAAACGTACTGATTGATGCATGGTCCTCTTGAAACTTGAGAATGAATGTGGCTTCCCTGGGTAAACAGAGAGTACGGGACAACTCTCACAACTTACAGAGGCAACACGTGTTACGACGAAACCATGGAACTGCCGGGCCAATCGTAAATATAATAAAATGGACGCAAACAACATCGGATAATGATAATTAATACAAAGCAGGCGGCGTATAATGGAAGCTATGAGCAACTTGGACATGAATCACAGCACACTGACCATTTCCCTGAAATCCCCCCGACTAACTCTCATTACTTTGCGCAAATTATAACGAAACCACGAAGAGACCCCTCATTAAAGTGGCCCTGGCCAATTGGTGCAGATGCTTGGCCAAGACAGCGGCGATTTTAACCGTGGATTAAAAACGAATTTCCTTAGAACTCCTTTTTGTGTTTAGTTTGTTGTCCCCACGCCTCCGATTAGCGCAGTTGGCTACGAACGGTGTGAAAGAAGTTCAACATGCAAACGTACACAGCACACGACAGCGGTCTCTGCTGCCGCCATTTAAAAAATGAACACTATATGGTTACACAGGTCACACTGGGATGATGAATATGGATCGCATATTTCACGAAACTAGAGGTTAAGGTGACAACAAAACGAACGAAATGCGAACAAAAAAATGGGTCCCAATTGCAATTTACAGACGATTCCTTCGTGACGACATCGCAGCGTTGCATTCAACAAACTGCGGCCAAGTTACGATTCTATACGGGAAGCCGTCACCATGTTTTCTCGGTCAGCGCAGAGGTCACCTGTCCATGGCTCAATCTCCCGGCGCGGCAAAACAAAAGCGCGGTGCGAGTTTCTTAAATCTTCCCCCCCCCCCCCCTTTCCCCCGCCTGTACCGCCCTCTATCGACGCGGCCGTATAGATTGGTAGCCGTAGTTCGCCCGTTGGCAGGTCACGCATGTGGTGGGGGTAAAGCGTGGGTTACTCCCACCCTCTTACAAGGCAGCTTTGTCTAGTGTGGAGCAGTAGGCCAAAAGGCCTCTAGCAAAGAGGTAGGGGGGGGGGAGAGGAGGTGCGGGCTCTCGAGCGCTCCCTGTCAGCCGAGAGTCTTGGGCCAGCAGCGCCGCGAGCGCGGCAATTGCGGGGCTGCGCCTTCAGCGCCTTCTCGTCACCGTCGCGGAGTTTTACGGCGACTCAACTTTGCGTTGTTCCACCCACCCCCACTCCTGCCCACGCCACCGGCCCACACAACCTCCCCACCCTACAACCCCCCCCCCCACCACCTTGCTCTTTGCCGGTCGCTGCGCCCCGTCTCTCGGCACTTTATTAATTTAGTGACATTTGTCTGGGCCGCTGCAATTTACGTGAGCGCGCCGTTGAAGGAGGGCGAGAAAGTCATTAGCGGCCGGGGGTGAAACGTCGCGTTGGGCTAAGGGGGCGCGCAGGTGGGGGGCACACCCCCACCGCCCCCCCCCCTCCAAACCCGGCAGGGCGGCGGCCAGTGCGCGAAGGGCGACGGACCATAATTAGCTGTCAGGAATTTAATTAGGCCTGCGACTGATGAACATGATATTAAAGATCCGGGCACATGTAAATTTCACCCGCGATCCATCTGTTAGCGTGGCTTCTCATTAGGGACGCTCCCCGCCCCCCCCCCCCCCCCCCCCGCCGCTCCTCTCCCGTTATTAACGGGGTAATTAAGGAAGTCTGCGGCCCGAGTCATCGATGGGTTCTAATTACAAGGGGTCCCCCGGACAGACCGGGACATTGTAATCTAGGATAATGATCGGCGAGTTTTACAAGCGCTTTGTGCCCCCCCCCCTCTCCCTCCTCCTTCTCCTCGTCGCCCTCCTCCCTCTCCCACCCCCCACCCCGAGTGATCTCCCACCACATGCTGGTCAAATGTTACATCTGTAAGACGTACGAAGTTGGCACTGTCGTGGTGCTGCAGGCAACATGTTCTTGCGCTGCAAATTACCTCCTCCTTTACCCTAACTAGCGCTGCGACGCCGAGTCTGATGGCGCTCCTCCTCCTCCTCCCTTCTCCTTCGGGGTTTAGAGAGCTCTCGGCACGCGGAGCGAAACGTCGGGACGCCGTGCCCAACGACACGCGGCACACGACCCCCAAACACGGCGGCGGCGCCGAACCGCACAGATTACGGTTCATGAATGAAGGACCCCGCCCCCCGTAGGGCGAGCGAACGTAACTTGAAGGTGAAGAATGTCACGGCGATCGCCCCGTCGGAGGAGTCGCGCCAGAGGGGTCGGCGACCAAAACAACAACGAAAGCCGTTTTTGTCGAATTCGGTACAAGATTAAAAAAAAATCAGTATTTCAAGAGCTGCGATCCACGCGGTGAGAATACGAGACGCTGGCCCTTAATAAATAAGGTCACCAAACGGTTCCTTAGTGAGCTATCTATGTATTCTGTCTCTCTGTGTCTTGGTCTGTGTGTGTGTGTGTCTCTCTCTCTCTCTCTTTTGCCGCAAGTTGCGCACGCCTGGACTAGCGCCACCGAGGCTGAGCATCACAGAGGGGTGAACTCACGTGTGTGCCATCGCTGCGTCGTGATTTTTGCCGCCGTTAAAAATAATTCCAGCGGAGATTTTGTTCGAACATGGAGGGCGAATTAAGGCCGCGTCATTATTGTTGGCGGCGCAATGGCCTCTCAATGGGAGGCCCACAATCGAATTCCCTTGGGGTGGAACAGTCTGAATAGGTGGTGGTCGTTGCCTTGCTGACCTTTGCAGGACAATGGATCATGCTGACTGGGATCTGAAGTCTATACGCTGATGCCGATGACTTAGTGACGCTGCTGCTGCATTGGCAGTGGTGCACCGGCACAAATAACAAAAAGACTCACTGGACAGTTCAGTCAAATTACACCGTGGCCTTTAAAAAAACCCAACTATAATAGGCAACGTTTCAGGCAATGAGCCTTCTTCATAACGCATACATAGAGAGGCTAGAGAGATTTAAAGGCTCGAGAGATTTACCGTTAAATTCTTATCAGGCACCATAGTGTTTAAGTGCAGTCTCCAACTCTAATTAACTCCATCTCTCTGCTGTGAAGAAGAGCCATAGGTGAAACCGCCGCCGATCATTTACTCCTCCTCGCAAGGCGACTGCAGCGTTATTGACGAATGAGTTGAGATTTTTCTGTCATTGGCGTGGAGGAGCTCACTGCTGCTATCCCGTGGCTGCTCCACGCACGCCTGATGTGGTTCGCACAATCTAACCGTGGTCGGAGCTTCCGCGGGCGATGAGGCGCCGGAAAGATTAATTTATAAAGTTGATTTTCTCTCTCGCTCTCCGCTCGGACGCAGTAGGTTAACGTTTGAAACCTGACGGGCATCCTCCACGATTTTTAACTTCTCTTCAAGGGAAGAAAGTGCAAACAGTACAGCGGGCATTTATTTCCCAACTAATCTTGTGACGTGCTCTAGTTTTCTCGTACTTTTTCTCGCCCCCCCCCCCTCCCCTCTGCTCTTTAACATCATGCACTTTTTTTTGCTTTGCGAGAGACGGCAAGCGCCAGTGAGCGCCAGCGAGGGCTGACTATACCGGGGACGCCGCGGCTCGTGCCGGCGACATTAGCATAAGTTAATGCGGCGTTCTAAAAACCCCATCGCATGACACGCATTTGACAACCCATTCGTCACCCGGTTAAGCAATCAGCTATGACAACTCATTATTAGAACCATCAGCGTTCTATAATGAACCTTTACGTACTCGGCAAACGAGACAAATGGATGGCAGCGCCATCTGCACACGTCCATCTGTTTTTTTTTTTCTGCAAGAGAGCAAAACCCCAACTTTGAAAAATCACAGTCCCCCCGACGTCCCCCCGACGTCCCCCCGACGTCCCCCCGACGTCCCCCCGACGTCTCCCCGACGTCTCCCCGACGTCTCCCCGACGTCCCCCCGACGTCTCCCCGACGTCTCCCCGACGTCTCCCCGACGTCCCCCCGACGTCTCCCCGACGTCCCCCCGACGTCTCCCCGACGTCCCCCCGACGTCTCCCCGACGTCCCCCCGACGTCTCCCCGACGTCCCCCCGACGTCCCCCCGACGTCTCCCCGACGTCCCCCCGACGTCCCCCCGACGTCCCCCCGACGTCCCCCCGACGTCCCCCCCGACGTCCCCGCGACGTCCCCCCGACGTCGAGTGGGCACTTTGACTGTACAGAAGTGGGGGCACGGTGAACTGGTGGCATCGGCTTGCCAGGTTACTCCCGGGTCCCATGTTCGCAATTTTCAGGAATAAAAAAAAACGATAAGGGAAGACGTATAAGACAAATACCCAGTGGGATGCGGGTTTATTCACACCGAATAATCATGGATAATTGGATGTGAAACTCATTTCAAGTGTTGTCTCATGTTCATTTGCTTTAATCAGTAGTCCCAGTGATAACTCTGGACCACGGATGTTTAGTCACCACATGTTGGTGTCACCACGTGCGGTATATTGGAACCATACAAGAAAACTCTTAGTGCCCCAAGCAGCTCAAGGGACTCCGGATTCAACAAAAAATATCTGCTCAAATTAAGATCCTAAAGAAGAGGAAGCAAATGTATTTATTTATTTAAAAGCCAGTTAAATCACTCCCGAGAAGATGGATACAAATTGAGCAATCATTGGAAGGATGTTATTAACCAGGTAAAACCCTAACTGCTTTGTAGTGGTTGTCATCTATCATATCCGCCGGGTACTCCGACACCACACAGCACTCGCCCTCCCCCTACCCCACACCCCCACCCCTCCCTTGCTCCTCCCCCTTTCTTACCTATATATAAAACCTCTTACCACGACAACTCTCTCTCACTTCAGCAAAACATTTTCTTGCTGTGGTTTTCCCACCTGATGATGATTGCTTGTGTTGCAATCGAAACGTCGTGATCTAATTTATTTCATTTTCTACCGACTACGTGACTTTACCCAAAGAACCAAAGAGTATGGATCCCTGCAGTCACGAAAACTTCAAATCTAGATTAAATCACTCCCATCGCCTTCTGGTGTACGTACATTTACTCTCATGTCGTCACACCTCGACGTTTGTGGACAGTTCTCTCACCTCACTCGCACGTCTCTGGCTTTCTACTCTCCCACGTGGATATTTTATACATCCATAGGGCCGGGCCCCCACAAGGCATTTCTTGATCAGGGTCCCCAAATGGGCCAGAGCAACCACCACTGGCAACAACAAAACCACAACAACAACAACAACAGCAGTCGCAACAGCATTGATGATGCTGACGATGATGCCGACACTGCTGCTGCTGATGATGATGATGATGCTGACGATGACGCTGATGATGCTGATGATGATGACGACGACGGTGCTGGCGATGACGACGATGCTGGCTATGATGCTGACGATGACGCTGACGATGACGCTGACGATGATGCTTACGATAATGACGATGAGGCCGACGATGAAGATGACGCCGGTGATGACGATGATGACGACGATGAGGCTGACGATGACGACCACGATGACAACGGCAGGAGAGGAGCGGCACTCACAGCTGAAGGGCTTGATGGTGCTGTGGATGTGCCGATGCTGCTTGAGGCCGGACGATGTCGCGAACGTCTTGCCGCAGTCGGTGCAGGTGTGTGCGCGCGCCCCGACGTGCTGTGAGCGGATGTGCCGCTGCAGGTTGCTGGGGTCGGTGAACACCTGCGTGAAAGCCACAGCGGTGAACACCTGCACGGAAACCACGACTGTGAACACCTGCACAGAAACCACGACCGTGAACACCTGCACAGAAACCACGACCGTGAACACTTGCACGGAAACCACGACCGTGAACACCTGCACAGAAACCACGACCGTGAACACCTGCACGGAAACCACGACTGTGAACACCTGCACGGAAACCACGACCGTGAACACCTGCACGGAAACCACGACTGTGAACACCTGCACAGAAACCACGACCGTGAACACCTGCACAGAAACCACGACTGTGAACACCTGCACGGAAACCACGATAGTGAACACCTGCACGGAAACAATCGCGGTGAACTACATCGTCGTCGTCGTCGTCGTTGCTGTTGTTGCCGTACCTTGTCGCAGTTCTCGCACTCGAAGCGCTTGCCGTTGTCGTGCGACATCTGGTGGCGGATCAGGTTGGACTTCCAGTTGAAGGCCTTGGGGCACTGGTCGCACTTGTACTCGCGCTCGTCCGTGTGGATCACCATGTGCCTTTCCAGGCTGCTCGCAAAAAAACAACAACAACGGCACGACGGGGAGGGTGCAGGGAGGGGGGACGTGGCGATGGAGCCAGCGTGAGAACTCATCCCGTATGGAGCGCCGTTCTCATCAGCTCCATTCTCCTTTTCATACAAAAACACAACAATTATTTCGTCAATAACACTGTGGCCTGAACACAAAAAAAGAACAGGTAACGTTATGAGCAACAACCCTTATTGATTGGACATGAATGCTGTTCTCATTGTCTGGAACTCCCTTCCCTCCCAGCCATCCGTGCCGAGAGTAAAAACAAAAGTTTGGTTCGGCGAATTGATCGTAAGTGGTCAGCCTCATCTCCACTGTCAAATCTGTGCCACGTCCCCCCCCCCCCCTCTGCCTATCGCCCTCTCATTTCTGAGAGCGTGAGCTGTGCGATCCAGAACTAAACTATGTAAACTATTTTTTTTGTTACCAGGTAAGGCCCACTGGGCTATACAACTCTTTTTCAGAAGTGACTTGGCCACAAATGACGGCTCAAGGAATTGGCTTAACACGTTGAAACTTATCGCAGCCAAATATGGAGGGAAAAATCAGAGGACGCGGAGAAAAATCTCCGCGAAGCCGGACCTCGAATAGTGCCATGTCAGGCACAGCCGACGCTCTGGAGAGACGGTCTGGCCGAGCTGGGTTTAGCAGGACGGATGTCCCAACAAAAAACGACGTAGTATAACGTGGCCCATCGACAAACGTGCAGTGACAACGGGGAGACTATAAAAAGCTCTCGGAGAATCAATTTTGAAACGACCGCCAATAGAATAAATGGCAGTGGTTCTTTGTGAGCCGTATATCGGCTGCTGGTGGCTCAATGGGATCAAGGGTTAGGGTGTGGTGCGTGATTTAAGAGGCCCCCCGATAGACTTGGGCTCACACCCCCCCCCCCTCACCTCACAAAAGATCGCTCAGTGCCCCAAATTGCAACACGAACCCGGCGATTCTCCGGATCGGTTCCTCTGGCGGTTTATTGAGAGGTCATCTCGAGAGTTCATCTCGAGAGGTCATCTCGAGAGGTCATCTCAAAAGGACAAGGGGGTTGTGCATTGTCAGTGGAAATGTCCCTGGATTCTGGAACTCAATGCCCGTCGATGAGATGAATCTCTCTCCAACTCGAACTCCGTCCGCCGGGCTTTTAAGAAACAACCAGCAGCAGCCTTTGGTTGTCTCACGCAAATCTTCGTTTGAAGGGGGACGCGTTTACGTTCCTGAGATTATGAACCAGCTCGCTGCCAGGGGCTGGGTACACTGACATAGCCTCCCCCCCCCGCGCCCCCCCCCGCCCCCCATTCACCCGGGGCAACCAGAGAGCACCGACTCGGATATTTCTTGACTTATCGCTATATCCACAAACAATTACACTCGGTTTAAGAACGCACAATTTGAGACAAACAAAGAACAAATACACACTTAAAATGAATATTATAATATATTTTTAAGGTGCTCTTAAGGGGCCGTGAGGTCAAAGCTGCCTTGAAATTTAAGATGAATTTATTGACGTGCAATGTTCATATAATCAAATCCACGAACTTCAACTATTTTATACTGTAATTTTGTTTCCTTCAAAGGAAAAGTAATATAAATAGGGGACGTTTCAGGCAATAGCCCTTCTTCATAGCCAAGAGAGAGAAATCGACGTTACATTTGTTGAAGGCGTGATTAACTGAAGTGTTCATTATCCCCAACACCCACGTCGTTAGTGACAGTGCAGACAAATGTTGGTTATAGAAACTGTTGAGATCTACTCTCATATATATACTGCGTGTGTGTGCTCTCCCAAGAGGAAATAAAACATACATCACCCATTTAGCTTCATAGACTCTCGGGGAAAGTGCTTTGAGCAAGAAACCTATAAAATATGCGAGTGGTATAGCCAGCACCAAGCCTGGCGTATGCTGTTTGCTCACACCTATTAGAGACCTGGCATAGCGCACGAGGTGGTGGCTTTGCTCGCACCACGCCCGGCCACCTTTGTCTAACCAGTAACATCACGCCAGGTACTCGTTTAAGGCTGAGCCGACCTAGGGGAGGCGCAAGACCTGATTGTAATATTCGTCACCGTTGTTGGCTGCGAGCAGGAATCTAACTCGGGTCGCCGGGTTCATAACACAGTGCGCGCCAACCACACTACCACTCCCCACAACGCGAAAATGTATTAATTAACTAATACATAATCACACACACACAGGAACACGGTACGCAGACACACAGACACACACACGAGATTATGTAACAGCGTTTACAGAGACGTGTAATCTGCCAAAATTGACTCGGACACACAAGGCCGAATGCGGCCAACAGGACCGCCCCTCTCTCCCAACAATTTTCCTTCCGCATGCCTCGTAATCCATGCATGGACATTAAAGTTGAATCCTGTTTGGCTGTAAAGTTATGAGATATGGCGCGAAACGCAATTCAAACAGAATTACTCAAAACAGCGGCTCATCTACCGTAGGTGGGGGGGGGGGGGCGATCGAGGTCTGGAGAGGCCACGGTCGCGTTCCAGAGAGACACAAATCCAAACAAACCCGCGCGTGGCGCTTGCGTCAGAGCGTCGAGCCGGCAACAACGCTGACGGCCTAAGGTTCGAACCCGGGCAGCCCCTCTGGGGGTCAAAGGGGTCAATGCCACCAACTCTCCACCGCCAGGTCCCGCGCGGCCGCTGCGAAGCTAGAGACACGGCGGCCACCTCCACGATCATCGCCGACAGCATCGCTGTCCGACAATGATGGTGGTTGTGGTATCAGAGAAGGGCCCCCAGAAGAGTGGAGACTCATCGCACGGGCGGAGACGCGACATGAACAGCAAACAAATGACGACGATGAATCGACGAGCAGAAGCATCGCCACGCAATCTGCAAAACGACGACGGCTGCTCGATTCCTGCGGCGGCTGGAGCGGAACGGACACCGCCGTGGCCGAACGACGCGCGGCGTCGGAGAGCTGCGGCCCCTAGCCTCGACACCGCAACGAGACGCCGGGGCGACGTGGCCTCACCTGTACGCATTGGGGAAGATGCGGTCGCAGTCGCGGCACTCGTAGATCTGCCCGGCGTCCGGCGTCGCCGGCGAGATCTCGGGCCTGAGCGAGGCGAGCACCGAGCTGCCGCTGTGGCACGAGAACCGCTGGTGGTGCCGCAGGTCCTGCTTCGAGCGGAAGAGCTCGTCGCACTCGCCGCAGCGGAAGCGCGGCTCGTCTGTTTGAGCGCACGCAGACGCGCCCGGCGTGCCGTCATCGTCTTCGTCGCCGTCGTCACAGTCATCTCCAGCTATGAGCAGGCATACCCCAACACCTACCACTGCGCCTATCACGACCCCAGCTGCTACTACCAATCTCTAATTCCCAGCTACGGCCAGGCCAAACGAGCGCGTCAACCCTCCCCTAACATAAAGCCAAAGACAAAGCTCCCCCGAATGGCCTTCACAGATTGTTGGTTGCCCACACCACGCCCAGGCGCCTGTCTCTCAAGTGGCGATGTTTACACACCACACCAGGCACTCATTTGAGGCTGAGTCGACCAATTGGAGGCCCAGGAGCGGTTCAAATAATCGTCATCGGCGTTGTCCGTGAGCGGGAATCGAACTCGGGTCGCCGGGTTCGTAGTGCAGCATAGCGCTTAGCGCTAGACGACCGCTCCCCCCCCCCACACACACACCGACCTACATAGATACACCCACATGGGTACTAAAATAGTAAATGTACACACACATACGCTGACACACACACAGAGTTACGTGCACACGTGCATACATGTTACATATTGACACAGGCACGCACGCGCATACAGTCACGGCTATATAGGCGCACGCACGCACGCACGCCCAAGCAGCCCACACACGCACGCCTACACACCGCGCACGCGCGCATGCAGTCACACAAGGTTTCAAACCACCGCAGCCTGACATTCAAATAAACGAGCAAGCCCGGGACATGTGTTTCCAGTTAAATCATCGACGGAGGGCAAGTGTCGAGTTGGCAGCGAAGCCCTTCGCTCAAAACGTCCCAACGTCAAACTTCCTGCGAGCTGGAAATCGCCGGCGAGCGCCGCACGAGCGGGCGAGCGAGCGAGCGAGCGGCCTCGTGAACGATGCCACGAGGCCGCTTCCCAAAGCTCTCGCACAGTCGATGTTTGGCGCAGAGTCTGAACAACGCTTCGTTGTCGCGCAACGGGGAGCTTCTTTAGGGATCGAATAGAAAGAAGCTCGTTGGACATCATGCCGAACAAGACGCAGCACAACTCAATGAAAAACACACACACACACATCAGATAGCAGCTACAGTAATGAGTCTGAATGTGGAAGATTAACATGGCGAGAACCTACGTTATCATTTAACAAGCATAAAGCGTCAGCGTTCAGGAGGCTCACATTTGAATTCAAGTCGGACGCAGATTCAAGCGCACTTCCAAATTCCTGAGCCAATGTCATTTCGTTCTTATCGCGGCCATCGCCACCACCACCACCACCACTATCATCATCATTACCCTGGTGTTTTTAAAAATACTTTTCCTGTCACGGGACTGCACGACTACACACGCCGTCGTGGACGAAACGCGACTTGCGGGGGGGTTGGAAACGCGACGCAGGCATTCGTGTAATTGGAGCCGCCGTTTGCGCCTGGCGTCACCAAATTACGGCGGCGGGGGGGGGGGCATTACGAGGCCGCCGCGTTCCCCGGCACGGAGGGCGGGGGGGCACGGCGCTGTAGTCGGCGCCAAACCAAACACGGGGAGCCGTGCGCGTCGCTCGTCCACTCGCGTCGCACACCGCGCGCACAGCTCCTGGGTCGGCCGCTCGTCGTGTTCCCCTACTCCACGTGCTGCTTCTACTCGGTGACTCTTCTCTCGTCCCATCCACTGTTCTTGTGTGGAGACCCACAGACTTACACAGAGACCCACAGACTTACATAGAGACCCACACACACTTACACAGAGACCCACCCACTTACACAGAGACCCACGGAGTTAACATAGAGACCCATAGACTTGCATAGAGACCCACAGACTTACATAGAGACCCACAGACTTACATAGAGACCCACGGAGTTAAATAGAGACCCACGGAGTTACATAGAGACCCACAGACTTACATAGAGACCCACAGACTTACATAGAGACCCACACACTTACACAGAGACCCACGGAGTTACATAGAGACCCACACACTTACACAGAGACCCACGGAGTTAAATAGAGACCCACACACTTACACAGAGACCCACGGAGTTACATAGAGACCCATAGACTTACATAGAGACCCACGGAGTTAAATAGAAACCTTCAGACTTACATAGAGACCCACAGACTAACATAGAGACCCACACACTTACACAGAGACCCACGGAGTTACATAGAGACCCACAGACTTACATAGAGACCCACAGACTTACATAGAGACCCACACACTTACACAGAGACCCACGGAGTTACATAGAGACCCACAGACTTACATAGAGACCCACAGACTTACATAGAGACCCACGGAGTTAAATAGAGACCCACAGACTTACATAGAGACCCACGGAGTTACATAGAGACCCACAGACTTACATAGAGACCCACGGAGTTAAATAAAGACCCACAGACTTACATAGAGATCCAAAGACTTATATAGAGACCCACACCTATGAAGCCTGGCATGGCACACGAGGGGGTGGGTGGCTAGCACCACACCCGGCTGCCTTTGTCTCCCTAGTGACGATATTTACACAGCACACCAGGTTGAGTCGACCTAGGGGGTGCCCAGGACCAGTTCAGATAATCGTCACCAGTGTTGGCTATGAGCGGGAATCGAACCCCGAGCGGCCAGGTTCGTAGCACAGCGCGCTAACCGCTACACTACCGCTCTCCACACCGCCAGCACAACCACCACCACCAGCAGCGGCGGTGGTGGTGGTGGTGGCGGCGATACCAGCATCTCGTACCATCAAAGTCGGGAGCCATGCTTCCACCAGAGTGCGAGTCCTCCCTCATGTAGACAAGCAGCTCGTCCCCTGGCTCCACATCCTTGATCACCTTGTAGTACATCTGTGGCGGGGGGGGGGGGACACGCGGCACCGAATCAACTCGCACCGCGCTGCCAGGAGGAGGTGGAAGAGGAGGCCGCGCTGACTGAAGAGTGGCCCCGGCTGGGTGGCTCGGAGGCCTCGGGAGGCCCGAGCCGGCCCCCGCGCTGCCGAGGCACAGATTTGGAATTGTGGATTGGGTCACCGGTGAGTGAACTGTGGACTGGTTTCTCAAGCGCGAGCAGGTCAATGGGTCTCAGCCTGGACACTGGCGATGAGACGGAAATAACCCGGATCGCACACAACTTTGAGTTTTCCCTGTAGGTAGCTAAATTACATCGCCGATCATTTTTTTTTAATATACTTGGAATTTTCGTTTCACTGTCATGTGTTGGTCTCATACCGGAACTTGTGAGAAGGCGTGCCCACCCCCTGTTGCATTTAAAAATAAAATTAAAGAATGTTCCCCCCCCCCCCAAAATGCTATGAAAGACATCTTCCAAGGGTCATTCCTCTGATATGTCGGGGTGACACTGTACCTGCGAGATTTCTGAAATGCTTCTTCATCTGAAGACATAACGGCAGTCATATAATAATCGAAATGAGCTGGGGGTGTAACAAAAAAACCGACCAAAACATTACTTTAAAAGGCTCCCACCATAGTAGTGTGGAATTTCCACCACCAGAGATTAGCACCACCTCACGGGGATGCAATTTCCGTAACACGCAGCAAATGCTGGCAACAGTCTCGAGCAAACGCCGCAACTTTCCCTACCCCACAAAGCAAAATTCCGCTGCTGCTCGAATTTGTAAGAATCGCATAAAGGACTCGAGGCGAATACATCAACCGACGCGTAAACCACTCGGTGTGCACGCCGAGGCATTACAAAACCCTGGCGCCCACTGTGTACGGTGCACTGTGATGCTTGTCGTGATCAGTAGGGGTAGCTATTTCACAAGCGTCTCTGTAGAACAACGCTGCAAACGCGATCGCCGGGTAGTCCAACGCTGCCGGCACCTTCCGTACCACCAACTCTCGCGCGCGAGGCCACGCGGTACGGCCATGGTAACTTGTGGTTGCTATGCTCCTGTTGACTTTCATGTGTGCTCGGTAGTCTGACATGTAAATAAGTCATCAGTCATTTTTAATGTGCAACAAACGTTATGCGTTTTTACACACAATTAAGGTCGTATTGTTTCAGTAATTTCAGATATCGATAACTGAGGATATGTTTAAAAACGCAACAGGCGCTCATTTGAGGCTGAGTCGACCTATAGCAGGCCCAGGACCGGTTCAGAAAACTGTCACCGATGTTCACCTGGAGCGGGAATCGAAAAGGGGTGACCGCGTTCGTATGCGGCGTGCTAACCACTGCACGACCGCTCCGCACAAAGACAAAGATCCCACGGATAGCCTTAGACTTTATGGGGCAAATTCTGTTCGCGAGCACCGATGAAGGCCGGAATGGCACACGAGGAGGTGGGTGGCCAGCACCAGTGGCGATGTTTACACAGCACACCTGTTCTCATTTGAGGCTGAGTCAACCGAGGGGAAGCCCAGTACCGGTTCAGATGTTCGTCACCGGTGCTGGCACGTGAGCGGAAATCGAACTCGGGTTCTCTGGGTTCGCAGCCCAGCGCGCCAACCGCTGCGCCACCGCTCCCCACGCGGTGGCTGCACGTGCGCACCTGCATCTACCTCTGACCAAGATCCCTCCCCCACCTCCAGATCACAGGTGAGCAGCGGTCACGTGGGTGAGGGGGGGGGGGGGTTTGAGGAGACCGGCGTCCCAGCCGCTCGCACGCTCACCTGCTCCCCGCTCTGCCAGGCTACGAGGTTGGCCTCTTCCCAGGCCTGTGCGAAGCGCACATACTTCGCCCAAGCTCCCGAGTCGTTCTGGCCCGGGTCTTCGCACAGCTTGGCGGGGGGGCTGTTCCCCTGCGAGCCCTGGACAGAGACGCACACACAAACAAGGCGAAAACAGCGACAGGTCAACACATGTAGTGGCCGAAACTCGGAATATTTATTTAGAATGAAGGAGGAATCCGATGAGCCAACGAAGCTCTTTATCACAGACGTCCTCCAGTAGGGGCATGTCAGCAAGTTACTACAACAACAATCTACACCGAGGCCACCTGTGAAATACCGCTTTTCCATTGCACAAGCCACAGCGGTGGTTTACAGGGCATGCACCGCCACCGCAACGGTTCGAGGCTTGAGCCAGTGGTGAATGTCCCACATTTTTCAATGGCGACTTGCATGAATGGATGTTGAACTTCTTTCGTACCGTACGTAGCCAATCGTGCTAATTGGACTCCCCACAGAGTGGTAATTATTTAATGAACTATGCAGCGATTACGAGCTGCACACACTGGCAGCATCATTTATTGCGGCTGTCCTCACGACTAAAAATATCTAAAAAGAAAAAGGGCACCACACACTCTCACAGCGATCGCGACCACTTTATTCCGTTTATAACCGGCGCTATCCCCCAAGTCGTTTAGGCTGTTTGAGTTTAAGTCACGGACACCCTTATGCCGATGTTATCGTTTGACGTTTACGACGTGGAAGTTGTTAATGCGACGCTCGCGCTGCGTGCGCGCGTTGCGTTTATTGCCCGCGCTGGGACCAAGCTTGTCCCCAGGTGAGCGAGTGAATGCTCCACTGCCTCGCGCGCACGCGCAGGTAGGGGCAGACCCCGCCACCCGGCAAGCGCTGCATGTGCATACACACAGCCCCCTTGTCAATCCACTGCTGGATGAGAACTTAGTTCATGGGATTGGATGATTCGACCGCACTTCGCCACGATTATCCGAACGGGGCCGGTAGAAGTCGGGGTGGGCAGGAGCGCAGATCAGGAAAGGAATTTGCCACACTGCCCTCTGCTGCCCACGACTCCCACTGCCCTGGTCTCCTGGGCACGGTGGTTCAACCCATCCAGGCACTACCCAGGCTCACGCCGGCTTCGCTTCTGAGGTCCGTTTGTGAAATACATTTCTGAAGTGGCCATGGTTTTACACTTTTGTCTTGACGAATTTCCTTCCCCTCCAAAAAAGTTCAAATTATTTTATAGAAAACAACAACAATAACAACAACGACAATAACGTGACGTGTTTCTTTGAAATCACCACGAGCCGCAGTCTATCCACTGCTGGACGACAGCCTCGCAATCACCAATCCACTGGGTCCACAGTTCATCTGGCTCCCGACCGTGAACAAATCCCATCGCTACACCTCTGCATAAAGACGGTGATCACTGCATCGCGCGCTTTCAGGTGCGCTTATGCGGCCGTCTGGAACGCTCTTCCTTTCGATATTAGGGAGCCACTGGAGCTATGCACTTGTAAATAATCTAGATTGACAAACTCATTTCTTAATAACTGCTTTTTTGTGTTAAGTTTGTTGTCCTTCCCCAACACCTCAGAGTAGCACGGTTGGCCATGCACGGCGCAAAATAAGTTCAACGTACATCGAGTGGCTATTCCTCTTGCGTCTTCCCTTTGGTCACCATCCCATCGTTTTCCTTGCGCCAATACCCCTTACTGCGACGAGGAACTATTGACACACCCACCCAAACTGTCCTTGTCAGTGGATGCGATTGGGTCCGCTTTGCGATGTTAATCGAGGGAAAATAAAAATGGGATAGTGGTATATTCTTTATATCCTTTAACTGATCTCAAACTTAAAACAAATTATGTTGGCAATGATGCTGCTGCTGCGTTGGCAGTGGTGCACACAGCACAATTAGCAACAACAACAAACAACTCAACTCATTTGTCAACAGCACTGCGTGGCAATATCCCATTACGAGAATGCCATATTTTATGTTGTGGCGAATGCGTTTCGTTTTAGTCGTCAAGTCTAAAACGATCACTTGCGATTATGCCGTTGCCATTCTTCAACTGGCAATGCCTTACACACAGTACGGCAAGAAGCAATTACAAATAAATGGTACCTAGAGTGTTCACAAAGAAATGCCACATTGTTTATAGAATTTGCTGCCAGCGCATAAAATGAATTCCGAAAATAAACAGTTGTTTAATTAACTAATTGTTCATTATATTGGCGGTTTAAATTAATGGCCACAAAGGCTTATGATAATTATGTAATCTATTGGCATCAAATAAATACGTGAATTTTAATTATTTGTTGAGACTACATCTTTTGTTTTTACTACTGACTTGCATGTACTTTTACAAGTATTTTTAATTTGAGGGCAACTGGTTACGAAATGCGTTAAGATCAAGTCTCATAAATCACTCATACTTTAGTCGTAATGCTTTATTTGCAGATTCATCATCAATAATTTTAACCTCGTTGAGTTATCAAAAAAATATATAAGCAAAATAATTTCTGGATATTGAGCATTTTGTGTGAGAAATAATGACCGGAAGAAGTTCCTCGCACACCGCACGGCCTGGAGACGATACGTGACGTTACGCCCTTGCTGAACGTCTCTCGCAACAAAATGAGTTATCGGATTCTCTTGAGGGGTAAAATAAAAAAAGTTTGAACATAAATTCACCTCTTTGCAAACACCATCTGTACACGACACCAAACAAAACTAAAATCCAATATCTCCAGGATAACATTTTTATGGCTAATCGAAGCAAAACGTCTGCAGCCTCTGATATAAAATAAATAAATTCCAAGAGGATACGTAGGGATGTGAATCCCCACCCGGCACAGGACAGGAGGGCATTTACACAATCCTGCAACGCAACAGTGGACTCCTGCTCCTCCGCAAATCCACCGGCTCGGAGCGAATCAACGACGATCACCACGTCGAGATACCACACCGTACCCAGTACGCCAATTCGAATTAAGAATAAATACGTGAATCAATAAGAAAGACGCGTTTTATGAACGTCAATATCACAGTGCAATGTTTGTTACGGGTCTGAATTATTGTGTAAGAGACGGTATTAATATTATTATTTTCAGGGGGAGTTTATTGGCGACTTTATGAGGTAAAGACACCTCTTCAGGACTTTCTAGTTGATTTAGTTTAAGTTTTTTTTTAATACATGTAATTTAATAGCGGTGGTACAACTCAGAGCCCCGTGTCCACCAGGGTGGACACGGGGCTCTGAGTTGTACCAGGGTGGACACGACGCAGCAGAAGGAATATATAGAGGTGTAGAGAAGTTCAACACCTGCTCGCTTAGGCACCTGCAAGAATAGTCTTACGTTGTAAAAACAAAACTTGTACGCAAAAAATTGCATTCTATTACGTAATTACACACAGAGCGCTTGCCACAAATGAACCACGATACCTCGCTGAGCTCGTCAAGCAGCTAAAACAATCATGAGAACTCCGATCATCCTCGCTGCAGATTGCGGCCGGCCTCTGAACAAAGTCGGTCACCGCATCGCTCGCTTTCAGATGCGCTTCTGCGGCCGTCTGGAACGCTCTCTTCCTCCTGATATCAGGAAGCCACTGGAGCTATGCCCTTTTAAATTAGCTGGATTGAAAACTGATTTTTTAACCGGTTTTTTGTTTGTTTAGTTTGTTGTCCTTCCCCCGTACTTCCGATTATCACGGGTGGCTACGTACGGTGTGAAATAACTTCAACATACATCACAGTATTCTTTAAATTCTAAACGGTGGTATATTTGTATGCTTATAATAACAGCAACTATCCAGGCACTTATGTTACCAAATAATGTTCCGTTCACTAAGCATTCAACTCCTGCTCTCCTGCGAACCACTCATTCTGTCGACGATTATATAGCGAATGTCTGTGGTTAACCGGTTTAGTATTTACGTTGTCTTTGTAATCTCGGCACATCCGATAAAAACAAACTTTTAATTGGTTGCGCTTTTTTATTCAAAGTCCGTGCGACTGTCTTAACAATAATGACAACAAGGTGTTAATAGAGCATACAGGTTGTATCCACATAAGTGGTAGAGCCCAGTTAATGTTCATGAACAAGCAGTGGTTGTGAGATGCAGCCACTTCGTACGTGTGCTTTGGTTTAGTTATTGGTTACATCTCTTCCAACGATGGACATCCTTGAGTACATTTGTTACAAACGAGCCGCACAGCCCTGTCTGCGGGCAACCACATTAAACCAACGGAAATGAAGACACACTTTGTGAACGTAAGAACACGACTGTTAATACATTATTTTCCGCATAAATGTTTCTGCTGTCATTCCCAAAATTCAGCCGCTTATCTTCGCAAACAGACGCCGATTCGAAAGAAGAATAATTTTTGTGTTATTTCGTCGGTCGGTCAGTTTATTTTGGGTTAGGGCATTGCGCTTAGCAGCTCTATTTCAATAGCATGTATACATATTAAAACGGTACCTGCACATGCAAGCGATTTTCATCTTACGTTGAAGCAATCACGATGGACTTGAATACAAACCCCACTGATGTGTATGTAAGTTGTTCTTTCGCACCGTACGTAGCCAACCGCGCTAATCGGAAATGCGGGGGAAGGACAACAAACTAAACACAACAATCAGTTCTCAAGAAGTCAGTTTTCAATCGAGATTATTTAAAAGCGCACAGCTCCGGTGGTTTTCTAATATCAGACGGAAGAGCGTTCCCGACAGCCCCAGATGCGCACAAGCAAAATATGAGTCAACAATGTTACGAACTATATAATTGTGTTGGGTGCGGCGGGGGGGGGGGGGAGAGGTCTAAAACGCGGCAGGTGTTTGAGCTAAAACACTGAAGAACATTCGTGATGAAAACGATGACACGAACTATATAATTGTGTTGGGTGGGGGATGAGAACGACGACACGAAGAGGTGAATGACGGCTATGTCGGAGCGCTTTTGTGCGAAATCGATTTTCTAACAACGAAAAGAAGGCGTGGGGATATTGCGGCTGAACGCTGACGATGTTTTCAACGGGAACAACAACAACAACAAACAAGATCCTTAAACTACACAAAGAAGCATGGACGGACAGATGCGCGCGCGTTTGCAATGT